AGAGCCTGCCTCAACAGCAGCACGGGCTTTCAACAAGACGTACACTCAGCGTCTGCAAGACCAAATCAGTATGCTGGGGCAATCAAAACCGAATGCGCCTAGACCATCAAAGTCGATTCCTAACATTGCCGCCATGGCTGCACAACAGCAAGAATCTCGCCCTGCAGAATCCCCAAGTAGAACTGAACGCGCGTTCAACGCACCTGGAGCGTTCCCAGAAGATGAGGATTCCTGGATTGGGCCGCCAACCACAGCTGCCCCATCGAAGCCGTTCAGCCCGAGACCTGCATTAACGAAGAGCTATACGACTGAGGTGATGGAAGACATTCGTGGCAAGGAGAGCATTGGTGGCCATGAATTCAACGTCCCAAAGCAGCGTGAAATACGCCAACCTTCTCCATTACGAGAAGTTGCTCAGTATCGTCCGAATGGCCTTTTCGGCCACGCAAAGTCCCAATCCACGTCTGTTATCCGGTCTCCAAACAAGGCCCATGATGATAATGAGCTTCTCAAGAAGACCATTTCAGTTTCGAACCCGAATCCTGGCGGCGAGCAATCACCTCCTAAGTCGCCTACAAGAAGTTATCGCGAGAGCCCATTGAAGGCGGCCAAAGACAAGCTTTCATCTATCTTGAAGACCTCCAAGGGACTCTTCGCAAGTAGCGCTGCAGCCAGTGCAGATGCTATGGCGTCAACATTATCGCCACCACCTGGACGAATGACCTGCCAAGCGTCAAAGTCAATTGCTGACCTTATGGAATCAACACACGCACCTTCCATCTATCCGTCGCTCAAGACTCAGCTCAGTAGCCAGAGCCTAATACCAGAGAGCCCGTCTAAGAAGGCTACCGTACGCAAGGCGAAGGAGAAGGAAGTGAGAGACGCGGAAGTCATGGTGCAACAGCTGAATAAGCTGGATAGAGAACGCGAAAAGGAAGCTGAGAAGGCCCGACTTTTTATACAGCAAGAACGCGAAAGAGTCGCTGCGATGGAACGCAAGGTGGCTGCACAGAAGGAACAGAAGGAGCAGGAGAGAAGAGCCGCCGCTCAAAAGGAGGAAGAGAGGAGGCTTGCTGCACAGAAGGAGGAGGATCGACGAATTACTGCACAGCAAGAGCAGGAGAGGCTGGCTGCTATCCAGAAGGAGGAAGAGAGAAAGGCTTTTGAACGTGAGGCTCTGGCTCGCGAGGCACCTGCGCCCCGCGCTACAAGAACGAGTCCACGAAAGACAAAGGCACAGCTTGAAGCAGAAGGGAAGGCTGCCGCCGCTACAGCAGAATATGCAGATGAAAATGTCGAGATGACAGAATCTTCGTCCATACCTCAATCTCTTAGTCGTTCGCAAATTGGAAGGCCAAAGGAGCCAGTCAAACGTACATTAAGACCTACCGCCAAGCAGCCACCTACCAACTCTCGTGGTGCGCCCGTTGTAATTCGGGTTAACACTGGATCCCGCCCGTTCCAGCCATCCAACGCGGCATTGGCAGCTTCTCTTGGCGACTCGCTGCCTCCGGCTGCTCCCCAACCTGTTGCTGGACCATCCAGAGCCAAGCAACCTGTCAGAGGTCTTCACCCAAAGGCATCTGTTGATAGCTTGAAGAGCGTTTCATCATCGACGACAACGAAAGTCAAGGCTTTGGAAGCCGCCGCCCGTAAGAGGGAGCAGGATGAGCGAGAGGCTCAGCGGAAGCGTGACGCCAAAGCTGAGCTGACAAGCCAGCTCGAGTCAAAGCGCAACGCTCAGCGTGCTCTGGAGAAGAAGCAGGAGTTGGAAAAGGCAAAGCTCAACAGGCCTCCTCCGCCACCTGCTCGCCCGAACCCACATGCTGAACGGGACAAACCGCTTCCTACCACCCATCGTGTGGAGCCTGAGCCAGTTCATCGCATGAACCCTACCATGCAGAGGCCCCAGGAAGAGAGCAGAATGAACACTCTCCAGAATACTACAAAGGCACCGCCGAAGCGCCCAATGCCTGCTGACGAAGCTCAATCCCGTCCAGCTATGCCGCGGAACGGGCCTTCTTATCACCAAAATGATTCGAAGCGACGCAAGACCGAGGACGAGTTCCTTGATGATGCCATGGAGACTCAACCTAGGGGAGCAATGGCTCCTCCAATTAGACAGTCAACCATTCGTCACAAGGTATGCAACTCAACGGAACATCTCCAGACTAAGCTAACCAAATTTCAGGATGTCCCAATGAAGTCTCTCTTCCCTACTGGCTACTCCGCCGCACCATCTTCGCACAGCACGGTCCACAACGCACCACATGCAATCCCCCAGCACATGCAATCCAAGCCTACCCGCCCAATGGACATGACCCAGACATCCAAGGCACCCATCAACTTCGCACCCAACCCCGCGCACAAGACTCCTGCGCGTCCTCTTGGCCCTGGCCACCCCAACGGCAAGTCGACCTCGAAGCCTTCGGCTAAGTCGTCACCGCGATACATCAACGGCGAGAACATCGACTTGCCCGAGATCCACACGGACTCCGAAGACGAGAACTCGGATGCAGGCGGTGACTTCGCGGTCCCCGAGTGGGCAAACAGCCCTAACCTCGCGGCTGGGATCATGGCGCAGGAGGGCTGTGATCCGACGAGTGTGTTTGGAGCACCAGGGGAGCTGAGGATGGAAGAGGTCTTTAGGAATAAGGAGCGTTGGGGGAAATTTAGGCAGAGAACGAGCAGTGCCAACTGGAGCGGGACTGATCGGTTGACGGAGGAGGAGATTCAACGCGATCTGGTTGCGAGGGAGAGGCTGAGGAGAGAGGGTGGATGGACGTATGGAATGAGCTGAAGGGTTGAAGAGATTGAGCATGATGACTTGCATGAAGGAGAGGGCGAAGCGGATTATATTTAAGGAGAGCGGTTTGCATATTTACTGTCCTTGCTTGCGGGACATGCATACAATTTTGGCGTTGGGGTGTCTGGATAGTATCTTGAGTGGTGGATAGCAGAGCGCTTCCATCTGTTACCTAGGGTCTTATGACATATGTTTGGAATTGAATGTCTACTCTCTTTGTTAAATATCTTCTCGTTACCGTAAATGATATCTTGCCTCGGCTGTGAAGAAACTGCTAAACAGGGTGGACGAGGGTCCTGTGTCTCGGCCTTGTGGACCAAGTCCTCAAGATCAAAGAAACGCTCGACACTTGGCAGAATTTTAGGAATTGCCATATAACTTAGAAGAGCTGTACATTTCTATATAGAAATACATTTTATCTCATTTCAATACCCCAATCATACACGTTCGAAACATTGCATAAACCCCACCTATGATACAAATGCACGCTACACTGTCCATCCCCAGACTATCTTACCCCTTCCATCTTCTCCTCCCCTGCCTTATCCCCATCTATCTCCGTCTCAAGTACCAGTTATAAGCCAGCGTCGAGGCGTCCGACGGGAACGGCGACGGCACCTCCGCAATCCCCGGTCGCGCCACCGGATGCCTCAAGTACACCGCCGCGCAGATATTATGGTTAACCTCCAGATATCTCGGCACAAACGCAAACGCAGACATATACGGACGCGGCCTCCACGGCGTCGCATACGGCTTACTCGAATCAATCGGGTTCTCGCGAACCTCGCGCAGCGCCTCCGCGAGCGTCTTGCGGTCCGCCTCAGGTGCCTTCTGCATTGCTGACTCCTTGGTAGCTACGACCTGCGCCTGCAGCGATGGGTCGACGTTTCCGGAAGTCGGAGCGGCGGCCGGTTTGGCCTTAGGCACGTTGGCGAGGGAAAGCTTGGACACGAGCTCGGCGACTTGCGCGTCGAGGTCTTCGGTGGTGGTGCGGCTCACGCTGCCGATTGCGCGGCGCACGGTGGCGGAGAAGGCGCGGATCTCCTGCTTCTTCTTGGCGTTGGGGCTGTGGGCGCTCTTGTCGGCGAGGACGGCGCGCGCGCTGGCGAGGAGGGATTGGAGGTTGTCTTTGTGCTCTTTGCGCTGCTTCTTCTCGATGGCTGCTTCGTCGAGCTCGGGTTCCTCGGCGGGTGTGGCTTCTTCCAAGGTCTCTTCAGAGGTGGTCTCCTCGGAGCGGGGAGCTTTCGCGGCGGCGAGACGCTTGCGGTGGGCTTTGGTTGCTTGGACGTCCTCAACTTCTTTGGGAGCGCCGGTGGCAAAGAGGACGCGGTCGGGCTCGACTTGGAACATGTCGCCGGGGTTGAGGTGGTAGCCGGGATAGGTCATCTAAAGCTGTTGTTAGCCGGTAATTGGCTTGTGTGGACAGTTAACACCCATACCTTCTTGCCATTGACCTTGACGCCTCCGTGTAGAACAAACTGCCGTGCTTGCCTTGCACTGCTGGCGAACAGGGCCCGGAAGACAGCTGTGTCTAGTCTCCGCTCTACTGGTGCATATGTCATGCCCATGTAGGGGATCACTTTGTTTTGTCTCAACCGACGACCTTTTGCATCTAAAGCTTCACCGGTCTGAAGACCCGAGCCGCGGCCGGTGGCCTGCTCAGATCCATCGTAGTAGGCCATGTATCTGTGATTCATGGGTATTACGGACTTGATGCGGGACGTAAACATTCGCTGCCACTTCTTCTCGCGGATCTGCTCGCCGTGGTAGGCGCGGGTTGCCCTCTTCGCAAACCATTTCTGCTGGAAGTAGGTGGCGCGAAGGAATGTGGTTCTTTGTTGAGAGAGGTTGTAGAGGTTGTATTTGCTCATCGACATGCGGATTTTCTAGCAGGTTCAGATGGTTAGCAGGCGCACACGGGTGAAGCGTTTGGAGACGCGGAAATTGGGACTGGAATGAAGCTTACTGGCGCCTTGAGGCCATGGAAGCGTTTTGTCCTCATGGTGAGTTACGTGTATGTGCTGGACTGCGGGAATTGGAAGCAGCACGCGGCAATTCAAGACCCAATTCGAGCACGAGACGACGTTCGGGATGCTTCACCTCGAAATGCAAGCCTCGAAAAATCTCAATGTGGTCTAGTGGGCGGCGCGGAGCGGAGCGGAGGCAGCGGAGGGCGGCGGAAAGCTTTTGCGGAATTTGCAGCCTTGCCCATCAAGCGAGGCAACTCTTCGTTTCTTTTGTCGAACTTTTGGTCACCAGCCTTGCATTTTAGTCGAAGCATTAAAACACTCATAACCACTCTGTCGCCATTTTTGTACGTCAATCCCGTCAATATACATATATCTTTTACACGGCATACTTATATTTGCTTAACAGGATTATTTCTTGACAAGAAAGCAAAAAGACACTGCAGGTTGGACCGCGTGTTATCAACCTTTCACCCCGCCTTTCCCTCATTGACGCATCCGTCACTCCAACATCGACTTAATATAACCTGCACGTTACATTAAAGGATACATATATCAATTGTTTGCCGGTCAATCCGTCAACAATCTAATTAATATGTCGGATTCCGTTCCTGAGGTCGCCAAGTTGGCAGAGCCTGTCGCAACTCAGGCGCTTGCAGAAGTCCCAGTGGCGACTGAAGCTGCGCCAGAGAAGACAGAGGCTGCACCAGCAGCGGATGCTGCCCCGGTTGCAACTGCTACTGAAACCCCTGCCAATGGCGCTGAGAAGACTGGAGAGGAGGCGAAGGACAGCTCTGACAGGAAGGGAGAATTCCAGCGCAACGGCCAGGACAGAGGACCACGCGTGTTCAAGAGATACGAGAGCAAGAGCAAGTTCGACCCATCTAAGCTCCCAATCACGGACAACCCGTCCGAGATCCGCGCCCAGGTATGCGCCATTTCCCTTCCCTTATTCTTGACGATCGCTGACAGGTTTGAAGGTTGACTTCTACTTCGGTGACTCCAATCTTCCCACCGACGACTTCTTGCTAGAATTGACCGGCGGATCGGAGAACAAGCCCGTATCGCTGAAGAAAGTCCACGAATTCGGCCGCATGAAGCGTTTCCAGCCCTACTCCACCATCGTCGAGGCGCTGAAGACCTCCGTTGTCGTCGAGGTCAGCGGCGCCGCCGACGAGGAAGTCGTGAAGCGCAAGGTACCACTGAGAAATAACCAAGGCTCCGAAGCCACTCAGCTATACAAGGCGAAGGAGGCCCGCTCCGTCTACGCCAAGGGCTTCGGCGACGAAGAGGCAACCACCCAATTCGACATCGAGGCTTTCTTCGCGACGTACGGCCCCACCAACGCGGTCCGCCTCCGCCGCGACGACGACACCAAGGCCTTCAAGGGGTCCGTGTACGTTGAGTTCGCGAGCGAGGAGCTGGCCAAAGCGTTCCTCGCGCTGGACCCCAAACCGAAGTGGAAGGGCGAGCAGGAGCTCGAGGTCATCTCCAAGGCCGACTATGTCATGACGTGCAACAAGGAGATTGCGGATGGCGTGAGGAAGCCAAAGGAGACCAAGGTCCGTGGCGGTGGCCGCGGTGGACGTGGAGGCGACCGCGACCAAGGCGACTGGAAGAAACGCCGTGCTGACGACCAGAGGCACGGATTCAGGGATAACAAGGGGGGTCGTGGAGGCCGTGGTGGCCGCGGTGGACGTGGAGGTCGTGGCGGACGTGGTGGCAACCCCAACCGCGAGGCCAGGGGCCCACGCCCGGATAACAACAGAAACGAGGAGGCGTAAGTTGGAGCTCCCCGAATATTGCGCCTGTACTGACTGAATGATAGTGCTGCTAAGGCTTCCGCGCCGGAAGGAGGTGAGAGCAACAACAAGCGTGCGCGCGAGGATGACGGAGGAGCAGGACAGGCACCGGCTAAGAAGGTTGACACTAAGGAGGCGCTGGCACCGGCTGCGGCTTCGTAGGCGATTTTTATTTGGATGCATTTCGTTTGCTTGCCTCAAAAATACTTTGTTGGGCGTTTGGGTATCGAGAGGGTGGTTCTATATAGCTGCCAGACTGTTAGGAATGGTAGCATTTGTATAAGAGATATGGATGGGATTTTTGTTATTTCGGTGGCGTGAAATCTTGCGTTTGATATGCCCGCATACATCATTTGATCTTTGGACACCATGCATGATATATGGTTGAATTTTTGTGCACTTTTGATGGGATATACGTTCATGTTCGAGAGGTGTGCATTGAATTCTACATGAGCCGGTATATTGTACAACTATCCACAAATAGTACACCAGCATGCGCACAACGACGATGCCATCTCTCATCCCTAATTCTCGCTAGAGTAGTCCAATATACGAAGTCTGCCCCATTCCCATGCCCCAAATCCATCATATAGTCTATACATACAAAACCCCCTCCCCCAATTCCACCCATCTAACAAGCCACAATCTCACCCATATCAATATGCGCCCCCTCCCACCTCCCCCCCTCCTCCACATCACTCGGCACCGGCGCGCTCGTCCCCTGTCCCGCAACCGGGGAATACATATACCACGCCTTCAACGCCGCAATCGCGGCCCTCGTCTTCGCTTCCCCCAGACTCGCACCCGCCGCCTCACCAAGCTTATCCTTCCCGCTAAAAATCCCAACCACATACACCGGATGTCTGCTGTTCCGTCCTGTCTCGCTCAGCAGCCTGGCGACGGGGAACTCAAAGTCCTCGCGCGCACACAGCCGCGACAGATCCCGCGTCGCCGTCTCGAACACGAAAAGCTTCTCGATCGCGAGGTGCCGCGATAGGACGTGTGCGCGGATAAACGCCTTTGCGGCTGCGCGACCATTGTGAATGTACACTGCTCCCACGAGAGCGCGCACGAAGTTCGCATGTGCCGCCTCCGAGGTCTGCGCCCCAGCCAGGGAGAACTTGCTGACCACATCACCGAACTCGTCGTCGTAGACCACACGACTGCTCAGTCCGCGACGGTAATTCTGGTCATCGTTCGGACGCCCCGATGTCGCGGTCGGGAGCTGGTTTCCCGGTTTCAGCTTGGAGAACTGGAGGAGTCCCGGGTCGACTTCCGACCCGGGGGCGGCGGCGGACTCGACACCCCATTCTTGGGCGAGCTTGGAGAGCGTGGCGGGGCCGACGTAGGCGTTCATTGAGGCGAAAAGGACGGCCATGGGGAGGCGGGGGTAGGTGCATAGGATCCACTCTGAGACGTGGAAGGAGAGAAGCGAGGAGCCTACTAGGGCGAGGGATGCGTTATTGAAGTCTCTCGCCGCGTCGGCGGAGGGGTCGACGAGCGTCCTCGCCAGCGTTTCCACGGGGAGCTTCGCGGGGAGGCTTAGACGGGCGTGTAGTGCGGCCAGCTTGGCGGAGGTGTGAGCCGCGCTGGGTAGGGGTGATGGGAAGGACTCCTCGGGTGCTTGGCGGAGAGGGTTGAGCGATTCATCTTCAAAGAGAACTTCGTCTGCTGCGGCGGCCGCGCTCGACAGTTGCCTCGTGCTGGCAATGCCTCGTACGAGCTGCTGCTGTTGGCATTGTTGGCGCTGCTGTCGGATGCAGCAGGGTCTTGCAGTCCTCCTTGCCAACAGCTGGCCCGTCCATTTCTCAGCCACCCGTAAACTCTTCATCGGGTATAATGTATATGTCCTCCTCTTGTACGTCCCCGCCGGTCCGGTATGATAACTTCGTAAATGGTCGACTTGGGCTCGGGCGGTTGGGCAAACTGCTGCGGTAGGAGGAGATATGCGCGGTTCCCAATAATTTTTAAAGCTTGCGAGAAAGATCTCGTGCCTCAATTGGGTGATGACTAAGCGGACCGGGAAGTCCCTCACCACCTCCAATCCAACCTCATCCACTGAATTTCGCGTTGGAGCGGAACATCAACCACCACGATTACAGCCGATTCATCAAGATGGTAAGTTCAATTCCACGTCTGCGATATGTGGGATGCGTACTAATTTTTATTAGGGTGGCGGCGCAAAAGTTCCGTACGTTTGCGAGCTCTCTCCACGACACGATTTCGCGAGGGCAATCAACTAACCAACTATTTGTAGATACCCCAAGCACGTCTGGTCACCAGCTGGTGGCTGGTACACGCAGCCTAAGAACTGGAAGGTCAACACCGCGGTGATGTTGACTGCTATCTTCGGAGTCACGGCAATGGCATGGAAGTTCAGCGCCGAGAACGAGTACCGGACGAAGTTCCCAGAGCAGGGACGCTTCTACCCAAGTCGATAGTATGTGCAATCTCTTGCCGCAGCATGCATTGAATACCGCAATGGATACTAACGGGATATAGCTGGAGCAAGCAGATTATTGAGCACGAGAAGGATGTCAAGGAGGGGAAGAAGTCCGCATAAGATGTTGGATGGCTGTGTTTGTACATATTCGGAGTCGCATCAAGGGTCATAGACGAAGGGACAATATTAGTAAAAATACGAGAAATATCTTGACAAACAAAGATACTTCAATTGCTAAAGCTATGTGACTGTCACGCTCTACAACAACCCCATGCAACCCTGGTATCAACAGAGAGGCACACCTATCGATACAAATATAAACAAAATCCGCCGAGAAAACCTATCTAACCGGCATGCTCTACAATCTCACTAATAAGCTGGCCTTTCTCATTAATATAGGTGCGGATCTGCTCCGGTAGCGCGACCTCTTTGAAGTCGCCCTCTTCGCCCTCAATGATATTCAGGTTAACACTCGAGGACTTGCTAGAAAAGACCTCCGTTTTCATGCTATCCTTGCCCAGGTACATCTGGGCGCCGTCGACCTGGTCGAGAAGAATAGTTGGCAGTGTGCCAATAACCTGCAATGCGAAGTTGGAGGACTTAACAACGTCAACGGACGAGACGAGAGAGTCGATGATGAGAGACAGGCGGGGACAGTTGTCAATCGAAATGGCATTGGCCTTTCCATTGATTCTAATAGTGGTCTTGCTGCACCTGCTGATGAGGATGGATTGAGAGATGGAAGCTTCAATCTCAATCATCTCAGGTTCGTTATCGAAGTGCTCGATAATCCACTTGTTCCCATCGAGCTCCTTCTTCGGGGGCTTCTTGGTTCTCAGCGACTCTGGCTTTGGAGTCTTACGTGGCGCAGGGCTCTTGTTGCGCGCGATGGACGACGTAGGGCTCAGGCTACTCTCGCTCCGGTCTGGGACGATGGAGCTAGCACGCAGCGACGGGTTCTTATGTGTCATTTCGTTCGCGCTTACTTTCTTAAGACCCTTAGTCACTGAATCGCCCTTGTTCAGTTCGGAGAAAACCGCGCCAATTCCCTCTACAGCAGCTGCAGGTTTCGCTGCCTCTTTGATATCGAATTTTGGCGCTGGGCCTGGTGGAGGTGGAGGGGGTGGTGGCGGTCCTCCTGAAGCTGCAGACGACGCTTGAGACGAAGAGGGAGATGACGCTGGAGTCTGGCTAGGAGTCGACTCCCTCGAGCTAACAGTCTTCATGGCCTCCTTCGGGCTGACACCGTTCGCATTCCACGTCAATCCGTGGGGGAAGGTGGACTTGACATATGCGCTCAGGTCCTTGAATATTTGATAGTAAGATTGGATCCATTGAACTTGTTGCGGGTCCCTCGCTTCTATTAGTATGCCGTAACGACCTGACATCGTGGCAAACTCACTTGTCTTTAAACTCTTTCAGGACTCTGTTTCCAAAGTACTGAGCGGACCCCAAGCTCTCATCAACATGCTTGAACGGCTTGTTGTCAATTGTGACCCAAGCGATGACCCCTATACTCTCAGCAACAGCACTGAGCTGGTTCGAGAGTTCCGAGCCACGGTTCGCATCCTTTACATCGACAACCGTTCTAATCTCTTGCTGAAGAGGCTTGAGGAGCTCCATATACTCGCTCCCAGCCGAGTCGGGTTTCTTCGACATTGTGGAGATGAAGAGCAGCGTGCGCTCATTCTGGAAGACCTTTGCGACTCGTGCCGCCTGAGCCGCAATAGCGCCGCCTATTTCATTACTGAGGTCGACATACTTCTTGACCGAAGTGTCTAGGAAGGTATCAAAGTCCTCCACCGACTCAGGCACTGGGTCATGCGCTGGCTTGGGTGGAGAAGTAGTATTCGCTGCGGCAGCGGCGACTACCGGAGCCGGAGCAGCAGCAGCAGCAGCACCAGCTGCGGGCCTCTTGCTCCCCGACGCATCGGGGGTTCGAGTGGTTGTGGAATCGTCGCCGTTTTCTTTTGGTGTTGACAACGATGCTAGGTCCTCGAAGGCCGGTGTCACCAAATCCTCCAACCTAGATGTCGCAGCTTCCAACCTGTGAGCCAGTCTAATTAGCCTGTCGTTCATCCTGGTTGACCAAATTGGTCTCCTCGGAATATGAGTGGTAGGCTGCGCCCGTAGTTGTTGTGCTTTGAAGACGGGAAGAGAGAGAATTGAATGGGGATTACCTCTTAACGAGAGTTGTCAGGTTATTCATGTTGGTAGCCATCTTGTGTAGCTCTGTTGTACGGAATGATTTGAAAGAAGGAAGGCGCAGACAGACAGTTGGACAGGGCAGACGGTTCTTGGCCGACGTATGCGTCGTAACTGTAACGTCAAAAGACAACAACTGCAAGCTTTATGCAGGAAAGCGCGATGATATATGTTGACTTATGTAAAGATATAAAGATATAAAGATATAAAGATATATACTTTCTAACAGCGAAGAGAACAATTGTCAATGTCGTAGGCTGACATTGAGTAAATAGTAGCTCGTCGGGCCACTCTTTGTAATTAAACGGAAGTTCGGCGATATATTTATTCCGGCCTCCTGAAGGGCTGAGTGGGAGCCTTGCGGCTTTGTGGGTGGTGGGCCCAGCAACTAAATTCTGCCCCGCCACAAATAAAACCCTCAGCCTTGTCGCCGCCGCCGTCGTCGTCGTCGTCGTCGTTGTCGTCGTCGTCCGTTGCTTTCCCCTCTACTGTAGAGTTGAGCTCTATAACTTCACGATAACAACGATATTAACAGAAAATGGTCACCGCTATGGACGTGGAGGAACCCAACCCAGATCAGGAGATAGACTTTTGCACTCTTGGAATGTTCATTCTTGGTAAGCTGCTGTGTTTATTCTGTCTGTTCTCCGTCTATCCTCCCAGGCGGATACCACCATCGATTATACAGCCAGGATGCATAGATACCCTTGCCTACATATGTGAATAGTTTGGGATTCTGGAGACTCTGCTATACGTTTCATATAAGCCAGTCTCGCCTTTATAACTTAATGTTCATCTACTATTGCCCCTCATCCTCTCATCTCCTGTCTGGAAGAATGATTTTCTCCGTTCGTCGGTAGACGGATGATCTTGAGCTCTCTTAAAAATGACTTTTGGTGGATTTGAAAGGAGTGCTACTGCAATCCAGCCTGGAATTTATCTATTCATTCCCTTGGCCGCTGGCTACTTCAGAACACGTGTTTGCCATCCCAACCCCTCTAACAGCTCACAGATGAAATACAATACCCCCTCCCCAAACCACCCCAACACAACATCCTCGGCGGCGCCGGCGCCTACTCCGCCCTCGGCGCCCGCATCGCCTCCCCCGCCCCCCTCCTCTCCAAAAAAGTAGGCTGGATAGTCGACCGGGGCTCCGATTTCCCCCCCCCCCTCACCCCCCTCCTCAACACCTGGCAAACCTCCTGCCTCCTGCGCACCGACCCCACCCGCCTCACCACCCGCGCCTTAAACAGCTACTCCTCCCCCACCGACCCCCAGCACCGCGCCTTCCGCTACACAACCCCCAAGCTCCGCCTCGAGCACAACGACCTCCTCGACTCCCCCGTCCTCCTGCACGCCAAATCATTCCACCTCATCTGCTCACCCACCCGCTGCATCAGCCTCGTCACCAACATCCTCTCTCTGCGCAGAGAAACCCTCTACCCCCTCTCCCCCCCCAAACCGCTCTTCATCTGGGAACCAGTCCCAGACTGCTGTCTCCCCACCGAGCTTCTCTCCACCACCGCAGCACTCGGATACGTCGACATATGCTCCCCCAACCACTCCGAGCTCGGCACCCTGATGAGCTCCCCCGCTTCCCTCCCAGATGGCTCCGTAGACCGCACGTTCGTCGAGGACGCGGCGGAGATGCTATTAGCGTCCATGCCCCTCTCCGCAGTCGCGATCATCGTCCGCTGCGGCGCGGACGGGTGCTACATCGCGCAAAACGGGGGACGCTCAGCCCCAACACACCCGCGCCCTACACCGTCCTCAAACTCGAACCTCGCGTCCCCTCCTCCCCCTCCCCCGAAGAAAGCGAAGAAAATCTGCGGTGGGGGACTGGCGCTCACGGCGGATATAGACATGATGTCCCTCTTCGCTGATATCCCCTCCTCCCCCCCCTCGCCCACTTCCACTTCTCCCACCTCCTCCGAACCGGAAGAAGACGACCATTCAACCCGCGACTTCGGCCTCTCGACGTGGCTCCCACCCTACCACACCTCTTCTGAAAAGGTCATCGATCCCACGGGAGGCGGAAACGCGTTCCTCGGCGCCCTATCTATAACGCGCGCGCGCGGGGCGGGGCTGGAGGAGGCGGCGCGGTGGGGGAATGTGGCGGCAAGTTTGGCGATTGAGCAGGTGGGGATGCCGGTTCTTAGTTTTGATGAGTGGGGGGAGGAGAGGTGGAATGGGGTGGATGTGGGGGAGAGGATGAGGGAGTTGGAGGGACGGCGTGGGGTGGGGGATGAGGGGTTGGCGGGGCGTATGGTGGGTGTGTCAATATGAGAGGTTGGAGGTTAGTTGATGGGGAAGGAGATGGGCGTTTGAAGGGGAGTTTTGGGTTTTTTTTGAAGGTTTGAAAGAGAGAGGGTGGGTGGGTTGAATTCGTGATACTACCATTCTTGTGTGTCTGCTTGCTCCAAGGCGCCTTAGCGTTGAAAAGGCGCCTTGGAGCAAGCAGACACACAGACAAATAGATAGACAAATATATTTGATTCTTAGTTCACACATCCCCCCTACCGTCGTTCGTCTCCGTGCATGCAGCCCCAGCGTCTTCTAACGCCGCAACGCCCACCGTGGGCCAAATTTCAATAACGCCTTCCCATCCCCTATCATCTCTTCCTACCGTGGTGTCCCTCACATGTGTCGCATCTCAACTATCATCACCTTTCGTAAAAATCCCAATTACATCCCACATCCCACCGCATCCATCCGTCCCACATCCAGGGTCTTAGATCTTATAAACCATCTCCCCATCCGCAAACCTATCAATCGTCCATTAGTCTCCATCTCCAACAAACTTCCAAACCCCCTACTAACAGGAAAGGGCCAAGAAAAGGGGAATACTCACATAATCTGATTCAACCCATCCATCCTCCTCAACCCCGCCACCACCTCCCCCCTCCCAAACACCCCCCCCCCAGCCCCCACACTCTCCCTATTAACAGCAACAACCACATCCCCCACCTCCGCCGCATCATCCGCAAACAGCGGCCCACCAACCACCTTCCCCAACGCCGCGCGGAAAACTACAAACCTCGCATCACTGATCCCTTCTCCCTCTTCCTCCTCGTCGTCGTCATCCATAGCATCCGCATCCGGCGCAAGCGACAACGCCGCCGTCCCGCTCGCTAGATCTGCAGTCGACTCCCTCGCAGCCTGGGATTGCGACGCCGACGCCCTCGTCCTTGTGGTGCGGGGGGAGGCGGTATACACCTCCTCCTCACTCTCCTCGCTCGCCTGTCTCGCGCCGCGTTTTGGCATCGCTCTCGTCCTCGCTGTACCGCGTGTCGACGGCGCAGTCGCGCTTCTAGAAACAGGCGTCTCGTCCTCGTCATCATCGCTACTATCTTCATCACCACTGCTCTCCTCATCCACGACCCTCGTCTTGCGGCGCTTCCCGCGCTTCTCGTCTTCAACTACTTCCTTAAACAGCGCGAAGCGGAGGATCCCCTCCGCAGCAAGGGAATCCCGTTCCTCCACCATGGGACTCAGTCGTGCCTTCGCGTGCGCGGTGGCGAGACGAATAAGCGTCTCCAGCGTCCTCACCGTCATCGGCGAAGTCTTGCGCTGGTTCCCCGCCATATCGTCATTACGCAGACTAACGTAGACCTCCGTGATTCGCTCGATCGCCTCCTGGGTTAGCTGGGGCTTGATCCGCGTCTTGGCGTATTGGATGTACTTCTTGACGAAGGGGATGGAGAGGACTTCGATGCGTTTGTTGGCGCCGCGGCCGCGGGTCAGGGTCACGCCGGAGTGCAGCATGACGTCGAATTTCTCGAAGACGTCCGTGGGTGCGCCGACGGAGGCGTCGTTCGCGATTCCGACGCCGAGGGTCTGGCCGCCGGATTCGCGCACAGGGGCGCCTTCCTCGGTGCCGGGCTGGCGGTAGCGGTGCATGCGCAGGACGTGCTCGCTGACTTGGCGATCGCGCTTATCCTCAATATCATCCGTGACGATAAACAGCAGATCGAAACGCGACAGCAGCGAGTCGGGCAGGTTAATGTTCTTATGCGGATCCTTGTGCGTATCATACTGTCCGTAAATCGGGTTCGCGGCCGCCAACACGGAGCAGCGCGCGTTGAGGGAGGTGTGGATCCCGGCTTTGGCGATGGTGACGGTCTGCTGCTCCATTACTTCGTGGATGGCGACGCGGTCAATGTCGGACATCTTGTCGAACTCGTCGATGCATACGACACCGCGGTCGGCGAGGACCATGGCTCCGGCTTCGAGGCGGCGCTCGCCGGTTTCTTGGTCCGTGGTGACGGCGGCGGTGAGACCGACGCCCGAGGAGCCGCGGCCGGTGGTGGCAATGGCGAGGGGGGCGGTGTTGAGGACGAAGCGGAGGAGTTGCGATTTGGCGGTCGAGGGATCGCCGACCATGAGGATGTTGATGTCTCCTCTTAGATGCGTGCCGTTATCGAGGTTCTTCTCCATACCGCTTAGGAGCATCAGCAGAATGGCTTTCTTGATGTAGTCGTGTCCGTAGATACTAGGTGCCAAACTTTGCGAGAGTAGCTCAAAGACGTTCTTCTTCTTGGAGATCTTGTTGATGTTGCGGATATCTATGTCGGTGATTGTTGCCGTTGCGATGCCGCCGCCAGATTTGGAGGATAGTAGGATGATATTGTTGGCTAGCACTACCGTCTTGAAGAGCGCGTTGTTATGCGATGTATTGCGGTTTCCGAGGGAGCGGAACGTGCCCACAAGCTGGATGCGATCTCCCGGCTTCACCATGTCCACCAGATCATCATCAACAATCACATCCACACCCCTAGGCAGCTGTCCCGCCGGCGCCTTCTCCGGCATCTCCTGTATACTAATCGTCTGGTGATCCCTGTACGTCGACAAACCATACTCCGTCGTAAGCGGATTCCCATGCTCATCCTCCTGCGGATACACGCTACTCGTCGACGCCTGGCCCATCGTCATCGTCTGGTCCTGGTACGTCCTAAAGTGCATCTTCTCCTCTTTCTCATTATAATGAACCGATTTCACAATCTTCGGCCGCACCAAACTGCATTTCGTCACGATACCCTCAAGGCTGACCATCCGGTTCAGATGCGACGAGTTGATTGTGCGAGGGTTGCAGGCCAGGTGGCCGAAGGAGCCAGCGAAGGCGCAGTAGTACATCGTCTCCTCGTCCGCCTGCTTCTTCGATATGTTTGGCATCGTCGCCACGACATTCTTGAGCGCCTTGTCAAAGGCTTGTGAAAAGTCAAAGGGCTGGTTAAGCAGGCCCTCTGCCAGCTCGACGTTGTGGTCGCGCACGATGTCGATGGAGACGACGAGGCGGCGCTTCCTTTGCTGCAGCATGAGGATGATCTCGGAGCGGTAGCTGCGCGCTTGGTGGTCATCTGGGAGCTGTTAGATTCACGCTCGCCAGTAAGTAATCAGCAATCTCAAGACGACATACTAGGATCAAGAAACTCCTCCGCCTGGCGGATGCGGTCCTTCACCACTTCATCTCTCAGCTCCAAGCCGTTCATGATGGGCGATTACGAGCGAGGGATAGGCAAACAGGGCCGGGTATTCGCTCCTCAGAAACCGACTTGGAATATTCTGCCAACAAGAGATGCAGTAAACTTGGTCGTTGGTTGTGGCGGTAATTTACTTCCGAAGTTGTTCCTTCCATGGGGGCATTTGAAGTTGGTGGATAGGAGATTTGACGCGACGCGCTTAAACCCAAGACGCGTTTTCCCGCGTAAAGTGGTGTCTTGGCCAGCCGAGAGACGCACCCCACCAAAACTGCGCACTAGGTCACATGACGCCACCGTAACATAAATCCTACAGCGGCTTACAATACTGTACCTTTAAAACAAATCAATTTCTTAGTTTAGTACTCGACTATAATGTAAGTTAGTCTAATTCCTCCTCTAGGTCGTCTTGGACAATTTACTCTTCAATCGCCCGTGGCTCGACTTTTTGTTGCTTTCTGTCGGGTGGCTTCCTCGGCCTCTTCCTCGGCTTCTTCCTCGGCCTCTTCCTCAGCCTCTAGAACCTGCACACGTAGTTCCTCGGTAGATGCATTAGCTAAGTTGTGGATATATATTTTGTTGTCCGTGTGTCCAACACCGTACAAAGGTCTAACGCTGTTCCTAGTACAGTATTTGCTCTTCGCCATGTAGCAAAATTAGGTGGGCTACTATTCTGAAAGACGGTATCAAAAATATCGTGTTGTGTTGGTGTTTTAGGTCGGCATCTGCAGTCGTCACGTTAGATGTTAGAAGCGTAACCTCTTGTATTATGCGCTACGGTTGCAGTGGTTGTAATCCTGCGCCTCTCTAAGCTGAAAAGAGCTTCTTCTTGCTTTTATCTATGTGGTTAACTATCCGCTTTCTGGATGCGCGTGAGCTGTGCTTCATTAAGCGGCGATAGTGCGGTTGTGAGGCATTTGTCCCAAAAACTGCAACATCGAGCAGCTACAACACTTTGTGATTCGATCCGTCTTCCTAGTCGTACTTGTATTCGATGACTAGGTGCGTAGCCACTGTTAGTAAGGGTTGGTAAGGACTTTTATCCACTTTACGAGGGTTTTCTCTTGCTACAGACCATTAGAGGTTTTCAATTGTTGAGTTGTGGTTGGGTATGCGAGACCAACCAGGTTGTGGTAGACGACTTACACGTGACTCCCCTCCCCCACCAGATATCATCCCCAATCCCCCTCCTCCCTTCTTCCTCCCCCATCACCAACTTCACCCCCCCAATCCGCCCACCATGCCTTCCTCATCCTCACCCTTTAACCTCCAAACCTGCGCCCGCCCCAACATCCTCGCCCTCCAACCCTACCGCTGCGCGCGCGAGTAAGCCTTTCCCCTCCAGCCCCCCCCTCAATCCCCCAATTAACCCCCCCTCCCAGCGACTACAAAGACGACGGCACCAACATCCTCCTCGACGCCAACGAAAACGCCTTCGGCCCCTCCCTCCCCCCTCCCTCACCAGCGCCGACCTCTCCCTCAAGACTCTAAACCGGTACCCCGACCCCCACCAACGCCCGCTGAAAACCCTCCTCTGCGACTTACGCAATGCGTCACCACCCCACCCTCCTCAACACCAACGCCCACGCCTCTAACAGCCGAGAACCTCTTCCTAGGCGTCGGAAGCGACGAAGCAATCGACGCCCTCCTGCGCTCCTTCTGCGTCCCGGGACGGGATAAGATCCTCGTCTGCCCGCCTACATACGGGATGTACACCGTCTCCGCACACACCAACGACGTCTCCCTCGTCTCCATCCCGCTCCTCCCCGCGCCAACATTCGGCCCCGACGTCCCCGCCCTCTCCGCCGCGCTCGCCGCAGACCCGACAATCAAGATCCTCTACCTCTGCTCCCCCGGCAACCCCACCGGATCCCTCATCCCCCCGGCGGATATCATCGGGTTACTCAACCACAAGACATACAACGGTATCATAGTAGTAGACGAAGCCTACATCGATTTCGCACCCCCATCCTCCTCCGCCGCGCCGCTGGTCACTGCTTATCCGAACCTCGTGGTCCTGCAAACCCTCTCCAAAGCCTTCGGACTCGCGGGCGTAAGACTCGGAGCCGCGTTTGCGGCCAAGGAGGTAGCGGGGTTAATGAACGCCCTGAAAGCACCATATAACATCAGCACGCCCACCAGCATCCTCGCCTCCGCCGCCTTGTCGAAGGAGGGGATCGCCGAAATGGAATCCTCGCGCGCGCAAATCGTTAAGCAGCGCGAACGGCTCGTTGCTGCTCTCCCATCGATCAAGGGGGTTGGAAGGCTGAGAGGAGGGGAGGCGGCGAATTTCCTGCTGTTTGAGATATTGAATCAGAAGGGGGAGCCGGATAATAAGGTCGCGAAGGGCGTTTATGAGAAGCTTGCGGTGGGGAGGGGAGTTGTGGTGAGGTTTAGAGGAACGGAATTTGGGTGTCTTGGGTGTCTAAGAGTGACGGTTGGGACGGAGGAGGAGGTGAGTAGGTTTTTGAGTGAGATTGGGAAGGTGGTTGAGGAGGTGTGGGGGGAGGTTGGTGCGTGATGGATTGTGGTGATGGATTTGGAAGATGAGAAAAGAGAGGGTAGAATCTAGATATCAGATCAAAAGACGAATAAGAACCATAACTTCAAGTACTTTCAATAATCACATACACATTGAAAGACCAAAAGTATAAAATAAAACGACTCCATTCCCTATCCTCCCAATCTAGAAACCTCCCCCAATCTTCCTTCCCACGGTACCAGCTACCTAGTCACCTAACAGCAGCCACAAAAAAAAGCAACCAGCAACCAGCACGCACACACCAAGCAGTGAATTAAGTCCCGTTCCGTCGTTCGTTCCCTTGGAAGAAAAATATCAACCATCCATCCTCCTCCAATTTTTCGTCGCGGCAGAGAGAGGAAAAACGTTAAAAGTCGTCGCGGACAAAGATATAAGCATACACCTTCTCTTCTTACAACACCCCCCCATCATCCCCACTTCCCCTTCACTCTTCACAAACAAACAACCTCTCTAAGAAAGCAACTCCTCCTCCCTCAACCCCGCCGCCACACCAGCAACACTCGGCACGCCCTCCCTCGCCAGCCCATCCTCCCCAACATTAACCACCTTCTTCGGCGCACTCGGGAAATCATCAAAGCGCAGATCCGCCACCGCGTCCGCAGCTGAGGAAGAGAGGCCTTCAGTCTTGAGTGCCGCGCCGGGTGGGGGGATGGCGTAAGTTGGCAGGGTAGCCGGGATGGTGTTTGAAGCGGTAGTGGAGGGGGTGAATGAGTCGGTGGTGGCTGGGATGGAAGATGTGGTGGTCGAGGGGGCGAAGGAGCCAGTCTCCGGAACCTTGGGGAAGGACTCGGCGGATGGGACCTTGGACTTCTTGGATGAAGTACCAGCGGGGGAGAAGGACGAGGTAGATGGGACCTTAGACGAATTGACACCGGTCGTAACAGCTGGCTCAGCCGACTTCCTGTCCGCAGGCGACGAGCTGCGCGCGCGTCCGATGATCTCCTGTGCCTTGGCTGAGTAATCACCGACGTACATCTTGGTAGTAGCAGCGGCGTTGCTAGCATGCTGGCTGGCCATCTGGCGCACCTGCGTAGTCTGGGCATTGACAATCTGGGAGAGCTGCTCGATTTGTCCGTCGATGAGGGCCTTGTTGGTAGTATAAACCAGAGGGCCGAGGAACAGAACCGAAGTTCCGATGAGAGCGAGGCCCCAGAGAGGCACGATCTTAACGAGGTGGTAAGAGATGAAAGCCGACAAGAGAGCCGCGCCAGAGGCCAAGACATTCTCGGCGAACAGAAGGCGCTGCGACTCGATGACGAAGAAGTTGATCAGCTCATCCAAGTCGCCAGTCATCGAATCCAACGTCGCCTTGGGAACGGTATAATACTTCCTCGGCCGAATCTGCGCCGTGAATCCCGCATTGAACAGCGCGCGCCCGGCCACCTCCGCGGCAACAGTAACACCAAGCGCCATCCACGTCAACTTCAGTCCATAGCGGAGCAGGTCCAAGTAGCGCGCTGCGAAGATGAAGACCACAGTCGTGGCGTAGGCGAGGGCCGACGCCCGGGGGTTCTCCCAGCTAAAGAGGGAGCCGAAGAACGAGTGGTAGTGCGTTAGGGGCTGGCCGGTGGCAGTGCGCGTAGCGGGCGTCTGGCGCTTGGCAGACAGGGCGGAGAGCTCGGCGGAGGTCTTGGTTGCTTCGGCTTTGACGCTTTCGGCGACGGGACCTGGGAAGGGGGGGGGGTGGTTAGCTATGACCTCATTGTTTGTTTTTATAGGCGGAAGGGGTGTGTTACCCTGAGCGAGGGCTACTTTGTCGTTCTTCTTGGAGGAACGGTTTGTGGTGGTGTTGGAGGCGTCGGAGGCACCTGGATGGGGGGATTAGTTGATGTTGTTGTGGTGATGGGAGCTGGAGAGATGGAGGTGTCTGTGACGTTATCAGTAAAGGGAAGCTTTTGGGGGATGGGGAAGCTCCGTACCTCACCGTTGGTGAAGGTGTTGGCGGCGTTTGTGCCTGTACTCAAGCCCTCGGTGGAGGGGATGGTCGGGTAGGCAGCAGAGTCGGTGTAGGAAGACATGTTGGAGGTCGTGGGGTGGATTTTGTTGCTTTGTAGTCGAACAGCGACGGCGAGGGAGCTATATAGCTTTACTCTCTCTGTATCGAACAGAGACGATGGAGTTGGAGACGGCAAGAGCCTGTCAAAGAGTCGTAGAGATAGAAGAGATTGTTATAGCGAGTCCTCTGGTATGACTCTGGTGAGTTTAGGAGATCTGTTGACGGTGGAAGGGAGGAATTTTTGGAGATGTTGTTTCGGAGGAGTTGTTTATGTGGGAGGAGGGAAAAAGAAAGTTGCCCGGTTGTGGTGGTGTTGGCAGGGAAAGTGGGAGGGAGGGATGTAATAACAGGTACCTGTTAGAGAGAACGCGAGTATCACAAGCATGCTACATACAGCCGATAGGTACCTGACTACTCTCTAACAGGTACAAGAGTTCTACGATTGACGTACAGGTTTTTGTTATTTTCCATGATGGCGATAGACCAAGCTATGCAGAGTACTTTGCGGTACTTGGGTTCACTAGCATTTCACCAACATTTCACTAACATTTCAACATTTCACTAACTCCTGGAACGCTGGAACGGGCAAGCAAGCACGAGCTTTGCTTTGTGGCTGATACAACCTAGTAGTTACTCCAAGTTAGTGAAATGTTCAAGTTAGTGAAATGTACACTATGCATCTATGACGTGTACGTAAATATACTATGGAAAAGTCATAAAATATCATATTCCACAACTGTTTATCTCCCAAGTACGGTGCCGTGCCCTCACCCACCCCCCTAGCAACAATCTGTGGCGCAACCCTGCTAAATAAGAAAATTGACATGTGATCCAACCGTTATCAAAGGAGTCATCCATCCCCGTTGTGCGATGGGACGCGTGGTCGTGTCGCGAGGACACATCACTGTTCATGTGCTTGTGTTGCCTGGGAGTAAGTTAGGGGAAAGGGGGTGGGGTGTTGTTTGTGAGGACGCATCGGGGCAATGTAAGGCAGTAGGAGGACAGGCTGGAGGACACAGAGGCAGATAGATAGATACCCATCAGACGGTAGAGTAAGGCTGTGATAAAAGGAGACTGAAGAACATGATTCCTGTCCAGATCATAACAGTGTAGTGTAATCCGGTCTCTATAAAAACTCGAGATGCTATCCCCCAGGCCAGCCCGGACACTCTCTCTCCCCCTCACATCCCCCCGGGTATCAACCACCTACGCCAACCCCGCACAAATCGCCGCCACCGCCCCGCGATCATACTTAACATACTTCCCCCTCCTCCTATCCAACTCATGGTACCTGTCCCAGAACCTCCCATAAAGCGGCTCAACCATCGCCTGCACATCCCTCGCAAACACCTCCCTAACCTCCTTCTCCATCGTCAACATCTTATGCTTCGCCACCAGCTCATCAAACGTCGCATTGAACTGCCTGAACTTTTCCTTAATCGCATCCCTCTCCTTACTACTCAACGCCTTCACCACCGCTGCGCTCTCATTCCCCGTGCTCCCCGACGTCGGCCTCCCCGGCCTCCCACCCCCCGTCCTGCTGCCGCCCGTATGCACGACGTCCATCAGGATCCTCGACGTCTCCAGCCACGGATCCATATACAAGCTCGTCGCCTTTTTCTTCCACGTATCCAGGCTCGGGATCCGCGATTTCAGCAGCGGCGCAAGATCAGACGCGCTAATCATGCGATTCACAACCACGAGGTTATTCGCCAGGAACACACCCTGCAACTGCTTCGTCTTGAGCAGCTGCGCGCCCTTGGCCTGGAGGGAGGAGAGCAAAGCGTCAACCGTGTCGGCGCTGTAGTGCGCGAAGAGCTCTTTGCCGTCGGCTGTGACGTCGAAGGAGGCGAGGGAGGGGGTGGCGTCGGCGGAGGGGTTCGCGCCGGATGCGCTCTTCCAGTTGCCGTCGCCGAGGGAGATCATTATGCCGGAGATTGGGCGGAGGAATTCTACCATGGTTTGTAGACGCGCCATTGTCTCGGTGGTGATGGGGAGAGGGGGGACGTCGATGGGGATGCTCTGGATCCCGCTGACGCGCTTGCGTGTATCGTCTAGGAGTTCCGCGAGGGAGGAGCGCGCAGTGTCGCGGATAGGCTTGAGGACCGATCCGAATGGGCCTTTGAGCTCGCCTGTCTGCGTCTCCACGCGGCTGGAGAGCTGCGAGATGATCTCCAGGATCTCGTAGGCGAGGAAACAGTCCGTGGTGAGGTGGGCGCGGATATGCACGTTCAGCTCTCGCAGCGTCCTGCCTACATCGTCCATGGCGCCTTGGCAGGCGAGGTTGAAGACCCGACCCCAGTCGTCGCGGGCGAAGAGCGCGCAGACGTTTTCGTGCTCGGCGATGTAGGCGCCTTTGATGGCTTGGGCGTACATCCCGATGCCGTTCGTGCCGTGCTTGTAGATGGCGTCGGCGGACTTCTTCTTGGCTGTGTTTACGGATGCAGCGGCTAGGTTGGCGAGTGAGGCTTGTAGGTATGGACCGCGGACGTTGGCGTATATTTTTGCGGTTGGGCTCTCTTGGGCTCCCATTGATGACTGTTGGCGCGCACCGACGAAGGAGTTGATGAGGCCAAGCCGTGTGGTCTTGTCCTGGCTGAGTGTGGGCCAGGGCTTTTGCTTTGTGATGAAGTTCAGCGGCTCAACTGGCGCCGCATCTTCCTGTAGTATCCGCCGAAAGACGGACTCCAGCTGCTGATTCCCAAACTGTATTAACCGGCTGAGATCCGACAAGGCTTGCCGGTTTGATTTCATATTTGTAGATTTTAGATCCGACAAGGCCCTAGTGACTCGGTTCATCGACGCCAGGTAGGATGACAATCCCGCATTGTCCGGCCCCGATCTGATGATCTCCTCCTCATTATTCTTGATATCCGACGGCCCTCGGACCGTCTCAATCGCACCCAGGATTGAGTCTATATTGTTCCCCAATACCTGGAGGCGTTGTGTATTTCCATGGATCGGGCCAATCGCCTCTTGTACGCTGCGCCCGCTGGTCTCCAGCCGTGTCAGGGAAGCTTGAATCTTCTTCGTCAGTTGCGCCGTCTTCTCCAGCCGTGATGTCAGGACATCGACTTCTGCTCGCGCCTCCTCGTCTGCGGCCTGGCGCGCGCTCAGGGTAATAGGCATTGTGATGTGCTGCGCATCCGCTACCGGGGTGAAATAGCCGTACGCTGTCTCAAAGGTCGTCATTCTCCCCAGCCAGGCGCCAATTTAAGGGTGAGCTGATGTTATTGTCGAGCATGGGTATGTGAGGTTGCCCCGTTGCGGGTTCTTGTTGAGAACAGAGTTATGCAGTCGCAAACAATGTAGGGATCAAGATAGTATATTATAGAAGACTCAATGACCTTCGTAGGGTTCTGGAATGTTGTGATTTCTGACGTGTAGCATCGTGTTTGAGGGAGGTCGGTGATCGGCGAGCGAGTGGTGAGTGATGATCGCTACGAACATGCGACGGCCTCATGGCTCATGGTGGTTTGAATCAGCTAGCAGCCACCGACAACACCAGCCACAACAAGCACCAGCCATATTATATTCACCAGCCACAGATGTCACATGCAATCTGTGGCATAGCGCCCCGGGACCAAAAGAAGTGGCGGGAGCTACTCACCCGATTAATTCCTGGTTTGGCCGCCATCGAGTATGAAGATTCAGAATCAGGGACCAAAATCCCTTGTTCCCTGATTCTGAATCTTCAACTCCCCCTCTAGTATTTAGCTTCTTAAAAAACACAGATCAGAATAGTTCTGCATTAGCCTCAAGCTCATCGCCGCCATGAGATTGGGTGCCAATTGCATCTTGCCATGATTCTGACAGTGCTGAAGACCCTTAAACACAACCCCTCCCTACGAAGCCGCCGCGCTCTTGTACCTTATTCGCAGCTTGTGGACCTGTCGCATTGGACTCGAGGCCCGCGATCGAATATATTAAGACGGCTTGAACCTCGAAACCCCCACAGGCATGATCGCGTTGTCGCCCAGAAAAGACGCTTCTTTCGTCGAAGGCCAGCCAAGGCTCCGATGAATTCCAGTGGCACTGTGGCCAAGGCTACTACAATTGTACTTGTTGCTGGCCTAGCCTATGTCCTATATGAGAATAACTTTCTCCAACCCCTGCCGCCTACGAAGTCCCGGGAACGGCTTACGGTAGAGCGAGTTTCGCGGCGGAAGCTGCAAGAGAAGATAGAGAAGGATGCGACTGAGAATGTCGAGGAGCTTCCAGGCTTGCCCTTCGCAAAGGCGGCCGCTCCTGATAAAAATGCGGAAGATTCATCATGGGGTCGCTTTGCGAGCGGGTTCGAATCGCTGGCTTCCTTGAAGGATGTTGAGTGGAGTACTGTGCAAGGAAACATCACTGGTTATATACTGCCGGAATGGGCAAAGAACATCCAGGAAGGCTTGTCAAAATTGCAGCTCGAGATGTCAATGGCTCCTGGAAGTCTGGCGGATGAGATATGGAAGGATGCCCAAGACCCAGAAAACAACCCCGAGATCGCGCGCCGCGCGACTGTTCGAGTGTCCCAGGAACTATGCGACGAGGAAAAGGAGTTTCTGAAGAAGCGCAAAGTGGTCACCACAACCGCCCTGGCAAAATATCTTGGTATCCCAGACGAGGAGGTCCATCCAGATGACGTCCCTACAATCGCCATGGTGAGCTCGGGAGGGGGCTTGCGCGCTCTTGTTGCAGGGACAGGTTCTCTTCTCGCTGCGCATGAAGACGGCCTCTTCCAGTGCGTTACCTACACTGCCGGTGTTAGTGGAAGCTGCTGGATGCAGACAATCTACCACTCATCTCTGGGAAATCGCCGCTTCGACTCTATGGTTAATCATCTCAGAGCTCGCCTTGGTACTCACATCGCGTACCCGCCCGATGCTCTTACGGCTCTGAACTCTGCACCTACCAACAAGTTCCTGCTTAGCGGCTTTGTCGAGAAACTGAAGGGTGATCCCGGAGCCGACTTTGGTGTCGTTGATCTATATGGATTGTTACTCGCGGCAAGACTTCTCGTTCCAAAGGGCGAATTAGGTGTCGACAACAGGAACCTGAAGATCTCCAACCAGCGCGAAAGCTTGAAAGACGGCGAGCACCCCATGCCTATCTACACTGCTGTCCGCCACGAGATCCCTATTTTGGAAGAATCTACCAATAAAGAGAAGGAGACTGATACTCCGTCCGAGGCGACCAAAGCACTGGCAAAGAAGGAGTCCTGGTTCCAATGGTTCGAGATTAGCCCGTACGAGATGTTCTGCGAAGAGTTCTCAGCCGGTATTCCCACTTGGGCCATGGGCCGACAGTTCAAGAACGGCGAAGATGTCCCACAAGAGAACGGCCTTGGAGTCCCAGAGATGAAGCTGCCACTTCTAATGGGTGTTTTCGGTAGCGCTATGTGCGCCACCCTGAGCCACTATGCAAAGGAAGTCAAGCCAATTATGAAGGGCATTCTACCAGTTGGTTTCTCAACAATCAAAGACATCATCGAGGAGCGCAACGATGATCTCTCCAAAGTCCACCCCATTGACCCCGCATCAATCCCCAACTACTGCGTAGGAATGAAAGACAGACTCCCCGACACTGCACCAGAAAGCATCTTCAAATCCGACCACATCGAGCTCATGGACGCCGGAATGTCAAACAACCTACCCATCTACAGCTGTCTCCGCCCAGGACGCGACGTCGACATCCTCATCGCCTTCGACGCCAGCGCCGACATCAAGACCGAGAACTGGCTCCAAGTGACAGAAGGTTACGCCCTGCAGCGCGGCATCAAGGGATGGCCCCTCGGCGCCGGCTGGCCTAGGAAATCCGATTCCTCCGAGGAAGCCGCTGCCCAGCTCGAAGACGCGCAGGTTACCTCAGCCGCTGAGGCAGAGGCAAAGCTCAAGGAGGCAAAGGCGGATGCGGAGACGGATCATAAGGCGCATGATAAGGCAGTTGCTAAGAAGGATACTTCAAAGGACAGAGTTGCAGCAGCTAACCCTGATGGAAACGTCAGCGACAGCGGCGACCTTGGCTTCTGTAGCGTTTGGGTTGGTAGCACGCAGGAGCGCCAGCACACCGACCAATCCACCGCCCCGCAATCCAAGGACGAGTCCGAGTCCGAACCCAAGTCCAAATCCGAGGAGTGGAAGCTGATGGAGCCCGATGCGGGGATCGCAGTCGTCTATTTCCCGCTCCTAGCCAACCCAGCGGTCGAGGGCGTGGACCCAGAGACGAGTCCGTACATGAGCACGTGGAACTTCATCTACACGCCCGAGGACGTGGATAATGTCGTTGGGCTTGCGAGGGCGAATTTCGAGGAGGGGAAGGAGAGGACGAGGCGCGTGGTGAGGGCGGTGTATGAGAGGAAGAAGAGGGCGAGGGAGGGGAGGGAGGGGAGGGAACGGGAGGGGCTGTGGGGGAGGATGGGGGGCAGGAGAATGCTTAATGGGGATGTTGTATTAACTGAATCTAGAAACAACTCTTCCTTGTAAGTAACTAACTTATACAATGCCGTTCTCCATATATATAAGATCTGACCTCAGATCCGTAATAGTCTCCCATATCACTGCTCTATCGAGTTACAAGCCCCAGTATTTCCGATCGGTGATGATGACAACGATGCGATCAGAGCGGGCCGTGGTTTCCTCGGCCTGTTCGTACCCCCGCACAACTCAGACCTAGAGTGTATCAGTACAACAGCTGGGAAAACGGCCATCTTTAACTATCCTCGTAACTCTATACTGGCCGATATTCAATATTCTATTTCTACCCTCAATAACCCTCTCTCCCTCTCCCTCTCTCCCTCTCCCTCTCTCCCTCTCCCTCTCTCCCTCTCCCTCTCTCCCTCTCCCTCTCTCCCTCTCCCTCTCTCCCTCTCCCTCTCTCCCTCTCCCTCTCTCTCTCTCTCTCTCCGAACATATGCCTCTCCCCATTCACGACCCAGTGATTCAGTCTATGGCCTCTCCCACAACCCTCTTCTCTCCCTCAGCTCAGCTCTCGCCAATATGAGGCTGTGCCCGTGGTGGATCGGCGGTCAGAAAGCTTAATACAGCTACTACTGCCAGCGGTCGGAATAACAATAAATCCTGTAACTTAACTTAAATATAACTTATATACAAAGCTCCTTCCCGGCGACCGTCCCCTTGGTTCCGACATAGACGCCGTTTCTTCGCTATGGGATTCCCGCCGTCAACCACCAACGCGCTCTCGCCGGAGCATGTGAATTCCCACGACGACTACGATTCAGATGACGACTCCGACTACTATTTCCACACATATGCTCCCCTCTCGTGTTTTCCCACGCCTCCGCCTTCATCACACACCTCAAGTCCACCCTCGCCGTTCCCCGATACCTCGTCCGACTGCTCGCTGGACTCCAGTTTACGAGGTACTTTCCCCCTACCCTATTGCCAACCACGAATTACGAGCTAACCACCCTCCAGGACCAGCAACTTACCTCTCCAACCTCATCCCCTGCGCCGCCTCCCTCCTCTCGCCCTCGCCATCCCTCACCCACACCCTTCTCACCCACGCAAACCTCGCTATAGAAACCCTCGCCCTAGCAGCCTGCATCCTCGACTCCCTCACCCCCCGCTTCGCGACCCTCTGGCGCCGCTCTCTCCCCCTCCACACCCTCCCCACGGACTCCCAACACATCGACACCGTCCGCCCCGAAATCATCATCCTCGCCGCCGTAATGATAGCCCACAAATTCCTCGACGACGCTGGGGCGAGGACAAGGACTTATAGCGAGGTTGTTGGGGGTGGGAGGTGGAGCATGGATATGCTGAATGTCACTGAGCGCTGCGTTGTGGAGAATCTAGGGTGGAGAATTGCCAGGTTATGGAGGGGAGAGCTGATTGAGGGCGCGGAGGAGGATATGAGGAGGGCGGGGATGGTGTGGGAGATGGCGGGGAAGAGGGTTGGTGGTGGGGCGAGGATGAAGGGGGGGTTGTTGACGCCTGTCGAAGGGGTGGTGGGGGAGGATCTTGCTTGTTGAGAGGAGAGGCCTGTTGAGTCTGTTTGGAGAGAGCATTTGCTGGTTATTTGCCGGCTGGTTGGCGTTTTGGAGGAGCGTGTTGTTCGTTGATTTTGGATTTTGGCGCAAACGGATGCATTTATGGGCGCTGCTGGCTGGTTGTAAGCCATTCTGGAGGCCCAGGGGCGCTTGGGAAGCGAAGCAAATTGTGGCTGGCATTGAGGGAGAGAGTACTCTGCCGTTTTGATATTATGATACCCTGGAACATAGTACGTCGTATACCTAAAGAGGGCAAGGATGGATGGAACCTAATGAATGGATTATCGATATTTTACTTCTCTTCGCTGGAAGCTTGATGGAGATGTGTTTGGTGAATGTCATGTGAAAGGTCCTCGATGATATTCGCATTGCAGTGACTTGCTGTCTTAGTTATGGTCAAGAACTGAGCCAAGGGTACCCTGGATCTCTACACCAGTGTACACATGGTTTGGGTCCATGAAATTATAGCGTTGGTGTCATCATCAGATTCGCTATCAATCCCGTGTGGGATATACTCTCCAGAAGGGCCGCTAGACGAGGAAGGCACCTCTCTTCCATGAGCTGAACGAATAGTCTTTGCTAGCATCGCACGCTTCCTCTTCAGAAGAGGACGATTAACTGGAGTAAATGATGGCCCTGGTTTGTCTTCGTCGCTAGTCCAATCCTCAGCGGTAGAATCACCAATCGTAGTAGGAGCAGGAGTAATCAAATTAACATCTAGGACAGGCACGAAGGATGACCCGTGAAGCTGCAAAGGAATAATCTCTTTCCCAGCCAATAGTATCTGGCCCTCGGGAGAGAGATGAGCAGCCAGAACCTCGTCGCGCGTGTTGTTTAGTGCATCAGCAATGGCCTGGAATGACTCAGGAGAACGGAGCTTGGTCAGAATATCAATGATGTTCTTGTCAATCTGCTTAATTTCTCGCCAGGCATCATGGCTGTTTAGCACAGATAGTCTAACTATTGTGACTTTCTTCTTCTGAAAAACCTCCATATGGATTAGCACCCTCCTTTGTACATGTTCCATGGGTAGGGGGGGCTCTTACTCTGATTGGCGATAATGAACCTGCAGTTCAACTGATTGCTGTTGTTATCGAACAAACACGGTGACATGCAGCGTCTAAATTCGCACCTTGGGACGACACCGCATACATCATGATGAGTACGGTAAGGCTAGAGTGAGTGTCTGTCAGTCCAGCATGTAACACCTCTGCTCGAATGTAGAAGGTCTTGCAAACTGTCTCTACATACCAAGCAGAGACTGGTATCTCTTCAGAGCACAAGCGTTTATTCCTCTTTCCATCCTTGTCCTGCTTCATGCAGTGCCCCATAATATCCTTTATGATCCATCTCATTTTGGGACTCCCGAAGGTCAGGTGCTGTAGGACATCTGAAGCGTCCGTAATAGGTCTATCCCCTCTCCTCAAAGTTGAATATGCTAGCTGGAGGCCTGTGAAACCCTGAGATCGCAAGATGGTAATGGTGGCTACAGTATCGTCAAGGAAACGCCCTCGCACCTTGGTGTGAGTAAGGGTTTGGTGAAAGCGACTCAATAAGGTCGAGACGGCATTGATAGTCATGGAACGCATTGGGCCAGTGATTTTGGAAAAACTCTTTAGATCAGCAGTTGGATCTACTCAGTGCTCCTTTTCTTTCAACCAAATCTCCAACCCTTCCTTGTAATCCCTTCTGTATGTTACCGGTGCAGGGTGTAGAAAATGCATGCATTATACTTACTTAACGAAACCCTGGTGGAAGAATTGATATTCGGCAGCTTCCGAAGAGGTCATCCTAAGCAGTGCTGTGTGTAATGGTGGGTGCACCAGATGTGAGAATCTAGCCACCCAAGGAAGGGATGATTTTACTAAGACAACACACTGTCTTAGAAAAAGAGCCAAAGGGTCGTAGCTTAGACTATTCCACAACGCAGCAATCAGGTGTATGATATAGTGGAGTGGTTTAGACAAGTTGTAACAAATGTTGAGTCTGAGAACTCAGGGATAAGTCAGAGGTTAGCACCTCACTGACTTTTCAGAAACAAGGAGTAATAAGATCAATGCTTTGAAGCTTGGAAAAGATGTGGAAGTATGTGATAGTCGATTTACTGTTGTCATACTGACATTCGTTGCACTCAGTTTGCTATCAAACTCAAGAGCAAACTTGGAAATCTCCTCCTCAAACCTACAAGTCACTATACACATTTTGGCTTATCACACCAACAACAAGAGCAATACTACTCAACGATTGCTACAACCATCTATGATTCATTACACGTCATTGCTCCTTAGTTACTGGGCCGATATTACCACATAGCATATCTCTACAACCCTCTATGATTCATTACATGACAACACTCATACTACCACATGATATCTACCAACTAGAGGCCTAGGAGCATGAACGATAGCTCTAAAAGCTCCTACGAACCTAAGAGATGGTTCTATGGGATTCTCTTACGTCGACTACAGTTACCAAGCCTGGTTAGTCATGAAAAGTCTTGGAAAATGAGAGAACTACACTCCTTTAGCATAAAGAGGATTGCCCTTTCCTTAAGAAAGGGCAAGCAGACAATACAGTAAATCGACTATCACATACTTCCACGTCTTTTCCAAGCTTCCAAGCATTCATCTTGTTACTCCTTGTTTCTGAAAAGTCAGTGAGGTGTTAACCTCTGACTTACCCCTGAGTTCCCAGACTCAACATTTGTTGCAACTTGTCTGAACCACTTCACTACATCACACACCTGATTGCTGCGTTGTGGAATAGTCTAAGCTACGACCCTTTGGCTCTTTTTCCTAAGACAGTGTGTTGTCTTAGTAAATTCATCCCTTCCTTGGGTGGCTAGATTCTCACATCTGGTGCACCCACCATTACATGAGGGACCCAAGCACGCTCGTTGTCGTCATTGGCGTTATACTGAGTATAGTAATCTTCTGGCTGATTTAATGTTAGTGAAGGAGGTAGCACATAGGGTCGAGTGTTACTTGACTCAGTATCTAGAACAGGAAGCTGTAGAAGTTGTCTCCGGGTAGCCTCAGCCCAGTTCATCTGGTTGGTCTGATGTGTAACATGCCTCTGAAGATTTGCCCCATAAACTGGCCACCTAGGTCTACGCCGGCGATTTGGATTACCGAAATCCTCCTTCTCTCTTCCGCTTTGTCTTTGCTTGAGATATAGAATAAATTGAACGGAGATCACGACGTGCAAGCTCTCCTGCAAATATACCCGCCTTTGCTCCTTTTATAAATGCCTGAAGCGATTCCCATTGATCTATAGTTGTAGTTTCTATATCGAAGATTCGGAGAGGATAATCTCCATGGCGTAATAGCTTCTTTGGATCTTGTGGAGTATTGCTAAAATCTGGTTCTTTGTGAGGTTGGGAGAGAAAGGAATCTGTATCTTCTGGCCGTATATATGCCTTGTGTTGTTGTATATGAGTTATCACAAGTGTACTCTTAGAACAGTCAATTCGAAATCCCGTTTCGTCGAAATTCCAAATATCTTCACGATGGATTTTGTATTTTGTAAGACAGTAGTGAAGTAGGGAAAACCATGAGAGGATATCATCTTTGCTTGTTGCTGCTCTTCTTTCTGCAGATAGTGAAGCAGTTTTCACATGAGTGGAATCGTTACTGTTTATATTCCTTTGCAATCAGACCTTGCTAACCAATTCTTTCGTTGCAGAGGTTCAAACAATATCGCTAGGCTATCTAACAGCATGCTTGTCGATGCCGGTTCTGAGCTCGCCATGTCGATACAAATCAACCTATTGAGAGCTTCCCACAGACACCTCGCGATATCGCGGGTTTAACAGGTGAATACTCACCCTTGTTTTTCGACACGACACATGTAGCTAAGTCTTTTATCCAGGCCCGGTTATTAATTCGATCCTACGCGCGCTTGGAGCAGACGATAGAGGCGGAATTGACGCAAGGCGGAAAAGGCTTAGAGTGCAGATTGGCATGAAACCAGATCCTATCTGACATCACATGCGGATACCATGGCGCATAGGATACAGTACCAGGAGCAAATGGCGTTCGGGGGGACTGGAGCGGAAGGCATTCTTTACTCATAGGAAGGCGGGTATCTATTGAATCATATCATAATACACTGATCTGCGTCCCGGTCGCCGGGAAACAACCAGAAACCAGCCGTGTGGGTATATATATCCTATCCCTATCCCCATCTACACCATTACCACCACCACCCTTCATCCCTCATCCCTCATCCCTCATCCCTCATCCCTCATCCCTCATCCCTCATCCCTCATCCCTCATCCCTCATCCCTCATCCCTCATCCCTCATCCCTCATCCCTCATCCCTCATCCCTCATCCCTCATCCCTCATCCCTCATCCCTCATCCCTCATCCCTCATCCCTCATCCCTCATCCCTCATCCCTCATCCCTCATCCCTCATCCCTCATCCCTCATCCCTCATCCCTCATCCCTCATCCCTCATCCCTCATCCCTCATCCCTCATCCCTCATCCCTCATCCCTCATCCCTCCCCACCCCCTATATCACACCTACTTCTCCCCCCCCGGCAACCCCGCCAAACTCGCACTCCTCTTCCCCCACCCCCAAAACCCCCCTCCCGTCGCCGCCGCCGTCGCAGCAGGGGGCGTCCCCCCACCACTCCTCGCGCCCTGACTAACCTGCCTCTCCAACGGCGACCCCCCCCCACCTCCCCCATTCCCACTCCCACTAACCATCCTCCTCAGCGCCTCCAACTTCCCCCTCGCCTCCTCCGCCTCCTGCCTCGCCGTCGCCTCCGCCGTTTTCGCCTGCACAAGCTCTAAAATCAACGCATCGTTATCCCCCCCTCCCTCTCCCCCTCCCGTCAAACTCGGCGCAAGACTAGGCGCATGTAAACTCGCCGCCCCCGGACTCAGCGGCACGGGGGGTGTCTCCTCATCCTCCCCCATAACCATGGAAGTATACAAACTACTCGATCTCTTCACGAACCCACCCGGCCCGGAAGCGGGACTGCGTGTTGATTTCTGCCGGCCGAGTTTCAGCTCGCGGAGGCCGTTGGAACTATGTGCTGAGGCGCGACGGCTCCAGTCGCTTCTCTCCCCCTCGTCGCCGTCGTTGCTGGAGCTGGCGCCCGGCTGCCGACTTCTTAACTCCGAGACTACCTTCTCCAATCTCCCCCGCTCAACATGGCCTTGTCGCACATGCGCGTGCCCTTCTCGCACTTGCTCGCCTAACTTGCTAACCTCGCGCTCGCAGTCCAGCAGCCGACGAGCGAGATCCTGGTTCTTGGAGACTTCCATCCCCAGCTGTCCCTTGGCGTGAGCCAGGTCGGCGCGCAGCTGAGCTTTTGATTGGAGGACTGCGGAATCGCGGTTCGAGGTGGTGAAGAAGCGGTGCGTGAGGGTTGTGAGGAGCGCGGGTATGCTGGGGGTTGAGGGTGTAGGGGAGGAAGCGGCGGCGATGGTGAGGGAGATGTGTGTGGGTGTTCCGCCGGGGGATTGCTCGTCTGAGTCGTGGGGGGAGGATTCGGGTGGGGGAACAGTTGAAGACGGCTGTGTTGGTGTGGATCCTTCGGTTTCGGTGGGTGATGATTCAGTCGTACTCGAAGTCACCCCAGCCGAAGACGAAGCTTCAGCATGTTCCATCGGGGAATCATGTTTTGACCCCTCCCTCCCCTCATCGCTCTTCTTCCCAGCCTCCTCACCCGCCATATTCTCGGGGGTCATACAAATCCCCCTCTCCCCCTCCGTCACCTCCCCCTCAACCTCCATCCCATTCTTCTTCAACACCTCAATCAGCAACCGAACCGCCACGCGATCCTCCTCCCGCTCCTCTCTCTCCCTCTGTAACCGCGTAGCCAACATAGCCTGTTCCCTCTGCATCTCGCTCAGCGCAAGGAGCAAATCCTCAATCTGCCCATTTAAACTGTTGTTACTACTCGCCAGCGCCTTCTGGCTCCCCACCGCTGCTGACAGCACCGTAGACGGCCCACGCACCGACGCGCCGTCCGATTGCGATGAGCCTCGCGACGTCGCTTCCGTCGTCAAGCTATCCGTGCTCCCCTCCCCTGACCCAAGCGTAGACGCCATACTCTGCTTGCTCGTCGACTTTCTTAAAAAGCTACCCGCGCGCCGGTACGGCGCCAGCGTCGCAGGGTTGAGCGTCATGCTCTTCGACGAGGAGTTCCATATGCGCCCCAGGAAGCGCGAGCCCGCTGATACAATATCGGCGGAGTGCGCAGGCGCCTTGCCGCTCTCCTGACTCTCGCTGTATCGCCGCTCGAGCGACTGCAGCAGATCATTTGTGATCGTGCCCGTCAAGCTAACGAAATCGTTAACAAAGGCGTCTGCGTCCATGCGATAGCAGTCCCAGAGTCCACGAGATAGAAGTAGTTGCATAACGTCCTCAAACTCTGCGCAAGCCGTAATGCGCTCCTCGTTCTTGCGCATCACAGCGAGCGCGACGCGCATCATAGTCTCTGAAGCGCCTTCAGCGAAGATCACATCATAGATGCGAAAGAGCATAGGGAGGGGGCAGGTGACAGCGAAGAAGGAGAGGAACCACTGCGAGACGTATGCGGGTTCGACTTGGAGGTGGTCGAGGTGTGCGGCGAGGGCGGGGAGGTGGCGTTTGAGCAGTTCGCCGAACTGAAAGATGCGTACGTGGAGACCGGAGAGGTCGGGGAGGTAGCAGCTTCGGAGGTCGTAGTTCTCTATCAATCTAGAAACGAGTCAGCCTGTGTCTTCATGGTAAGTAGGATGGGGGATGCTTACCGCACTAGTATACAAAACGCCTGGGTATCGCCCATATGCATCAACAGCGGCCCCACGAGGAACCCCAGACCCTGACAATATCCAATCTTGGGATCATACAAACTAAAGCACCTCAACACCTTCCCCAGCATCCTCTGTCCCTCCCCATTCGGATCGCGAAACATCTCCACACCCGGAAAGCTGCGCCCGAGATCCTTCCCAATGATCCCCTCGTATGGACTCGATCCCCCACACAGACGCTCATACTCCTCCTCCAGCACCAGATCCCTTGCGCCAGACATGCTCTGCCACACCACGCCCCTGAGCGGCGGCGGTATCCCCGCACGGATCTTCTTCGACAGCAGCGTCGGCAGTCGCTGCGCAGTGCGCTTGTAGTCCTGCACCACCGCAGCGTAGAACTCGAGGTCTGTCATCGCAGGCGCGGGAAGTAAGGAGTACCGTAGCGCAGGAGGCGAGGGCGCATTCACCATCTGTTTAAGCTGCTGCATAGACGGCGGGCGGCGCTGTACACGTTGTTCTGCTTGTGCTCGTGCGAGACCGGATTTCGGGTTTGTAGCTAGGAGATTGTTCTCTTGTTCGAGACGGGCGAGGAGAAGGGCTGTGGACTATGATTCAGTTAGGTTGGGAACATGGGGCTTATTCACAGGTAATGGGGGGAACTTGCATCTTCAGTATCTTGATCCCTTGGCTCTTGCTCTTCTGTCCGCTCCAGAACTTCCCAGTTCACGCTCTCGGTCTCGCTTTGGCTTTTATGGCTCCCCCTCCTGACCTCCCTGTCCTTGACGCAGGGGACTTCCATCCTCGCAATCTCAGTCTCATAGACAGTGTCCGCATCGGTATCGTCCTCGGGTATCACTCCCCCCGTAATTTGTTCAGTTGGTGCTATTTTTGCCTCCTGTTCCTCTTCCTCGTCTTCGTCGTCGTCTTCTTCGTCGTCGTCCTCGTCCTTATCGCCAGACTCGTCGACCTTGTCTTTCCCTCCTGTCTCAGCAAACGCAGCAGCAGTGCCAGAACCAGCAGCAGACCCTCCCAATTCAGGCTCAGGCTCAGATAATCGCACCGTGACCATCGAATCATGCAGCACCATCTCCCTCTTCTTCATGGCGACATCGCTGGGAAGCTCCCCTAGATCATCCATAATGACGGTTCTTGACGAGCGGTGGTCCGAGAATGACGCTGCGAATTATGTGCGCGTCATGTATACCTTTCTCGGCCAGTATTCTTAAAAATTCGACAAAGTAGTAGTGTTTCGTATGTCGGGGATATATGTACAAATCGTCGTCTCCTTGTTTTCGAGCGTTTGTGGTTTGTGTCGTGGAAAATGAGTGAGTTGTGTCTCCCTAAACACTATCGCCACGCTCTTTTCAAATTAACCCAGACGGACGTAAACAAATATAACCAAGCAAGCAGCTCAAACCGCAGACAAAAATCCTCGTTGAACAAAATACAAAACTGTTCTTTCTATGAAAATAAAGCAGAAATCATCAGCGCGGACACAACCAGGGGGGGGCGAGGGTTGATCCTGAGCCATGCAGGGTTCAGGGTCGCGCATTGGGAATTTCCCACGCCGAACCCCCGTCCCGTCCGTCTAGTCACGTCACCCGAAGACGCGCCGATTTAAATTCAACCTCCTCCACCAAAACGAAAAGCTTCAATGCATCGCTGCGCCCAACTCGCGCGCTCGACGCGGCGGGTATGTAGGGGAGATGTAGGGTATACGCATAATACGACGCCGGTCGCCGTCATCTTCACATCCCGCTTCTCGACCACTCGCGCCGAGCCCAGCGCATCTGTCCCTCCACCACCACGAAAATCAGCGACAACCACCCTCCTCCTCACAACCCTCGCCCTCGCCGCAGCGGGAGCAACGACATACCAGCTCTCCTCTTCCTCCTCAGCACCCAGATCCGGGCTACACGACCGCATATTCACACCCTACACCATCACATCCAAAACCCCCATCTCGCCCACCTCTATCGTCTTCACCCTCTCCCCCCCGCCCTCACAAACCCCCTCTTCCTCCACATCACAACCAGACGACCCCTTCGCCCCCCTCTGGCCAACCATCTGGTCCCTAACCTTCCGCCAACCCCAACTCCAAGTCGCACGCTCTTACACCCCCCTCCCTCCCCCTCTCTCCGCCGCCCCCTCTACACCAGGCACACTCCGCTTCCTCATCCGCCGCGAACACGGCGGCGAAGTATCGACCTACCTCTCCCACCTCCCCATTGGATCCACAATCGACATCCGCGGTCCGGTGGTTGAATACGCCATACCCCCCGACGTGAGCGATGTCGTTTTTTTGGCGGGAGGGACGGGGATTGCGCCCGCGTTGCAGGTTATTAGGGCTGTACTTGGTGATGGAGCTTCCGGGGGGGAGGGGGAGGGGGAGGGGAAGCATAAGACGGTGAAAATCCTTTGGGCCAACCGCCAACGCTCTGAATGCGCCGGCGCCCCTCTACCTACGTCGTGGTATAATTGCATCTGGGGCGCACAGCCCGAGGAAAGCAAACCACCCAGCCCCCTTGTTAAAGAACTGAGGGGGTTGGAAGCGCGGTATCCGGGGCGGGTGGAGGTGAGGTATTTCATTGATGTGGAGGGGAGTTTTATTGATCGGAGGGGGATACTTGACGCTGTGAAATCGGTAGGGGAGAAGGGGGACGGGAGGAAACTAATCATGGTCGCCGGACCGGATGGGTTCGTTAAGCATTATGTTGGACCACGGGTGTGGGAGGGGGCAGAGGAGAAGCAGGGTCCGCTTGGGGGGGTGGTGAAAGGGTTAGGGTTGGGGGGGTGGGAGGTTGTGAAGTTATAACGGGGGGAGACACTGAGATTATAATACTGTATTAAGTTACTGTACGATAGAAGCGTTAGAATTATTACAAGTGATAGAAGTGATAGAAGTGTTAGAATTCCGTGGTCTAGTTCCGCTTCACTATACCTCGCTGTAAATGAGTAGAACGCATAACATACAATACAACCATCCACCCACCAGACACCCATAAGTCATCCCATCTGTATGCATATCCCCCCAACTCCACGCTTCACACGCCAAACCCCATCTCCAGCGCCATGCATAAACGACAAAACAACCCCCCAACCAACACAACGCACCTGCCATTCGTGTCGCGCAAACCTTCAAATCCTCAAATCCTCAAACCTTCAGCACCTACACATCCCCAAAAAGCCTCCCCCCTCCCTTCTCCCCCCTCTCTCCCACCACCCCAACCCCACTCTTAAACACCTCCCTCGCCCAACAAAAATCCTCCATCACCCCCCCATGCCGTCCACAGGCCGCATCCCACCACGTCCTCACCACCTCATCCTCCCTCACCCCCTCCACATACCTCACCACCTCCCTCCCCCCAATCGTCCCCAGCCACCCTTTGGGAAAGGCATCGACCTCGTTCTTCCTTGCTACAAAGTGGTAGACCATTTTGGTGTTGAAGGCGTCCCACGCCGCCATGTACGCGTGCATAGCGGCCATATACGTATCCCACGCCGCCTGCGTCGGGCGCGGAGCGTCCGGTGCGATAGCGGGCGGGCTCGGGCCGCGCGGGGGTTGCGGGAGGTCGAGGTGTGCGGGTTTAGACCCCCTCCCAATCGGCGCCGCAGTCGCTGCTTTCGAAGCAAACGGGAGATTCGACGTCAGGTCAACAAAAGATGACAGGCCGGCGGGTGGTGTGTAGAGTGGTTCTGTTTTCTTGAGATCGTCGAGGTTGGCAGCTAGGCCGGAGGTGCTGCGTTGTTGGGTATTTAGGGCTTCTTTGGGGGGGAGGGCTGGGCCGGGGGCGGAGGCTGGGGGGGCTGCGAAGGCGGTGCTCGTGGTGTCGCTGGGGCGCCATTCGGCGCGGGTGGGCTCGTCGTAGACGTTTCGCGCGTCGTTTGGCGGTTGAGGGGGGTCGATGTCCATTGCCGTCGGGCTTGAGACGAGGGGTGGCTGGGCGGATGTACTCGTGCCAGTTTCCGCGCCTGGTACGGGTCGAGAACCCATGAACAGCGGTTTGTCGGATTCATCATCGCTATCGACCATCGGAGCTGTTCCAGTAGACTTGGTCACAGGCGGCCCCTTGGTCACAGGCGGCCCCTTGCTCGACGACGAACTGGCCTTGGCGCGCCTGCTCGTGTTGGTGCGAGACCTATTCAGCGATCCTGTGGAAGGATGTGGAGGTGGTGCGAAAATGCCAGGTTTGAACGTCTGCGCCCATTCTTCGGCGGTGAATTTCGTGCCGCCAGGAGACGACGTGGCGCCATCTGTACCGCTCGACTGCTGGAGGATCTCGGGGTCGATATTCGGATATGGCGACTTGGTGCTGACCGGTGGAACTCGTGGCTTTGGCGGAGATCGGTTTCGAGCGCGACTGGTAGAGTTATCGCGGGCCGGTTGAGCAGCGGCCTCCTTTCCGAAATAATCCTCGCCGGCTTCGAATTTACCGTGCCAGTCTGTAGGAGTGAAAGTCGTGCTGATGTTCTCTGTGCTGCTAGTAGGGAACTGTCGTGGCACCGAGTGCGCAGTGTACGTCTCGCCGTCGACTTGGAAGGTAAAGCTAAAAGCGCCAGTAAAGTCAGCATTAAGGGTATTGTTATCTTTCATACATTTGGAGAAATCTTCCCAACTCTGGAAGGTGAGGTCTGGGCCTTTGATACTACTGAAAATAGTGGGATTTCGGATGATGGAGAGCCCGGCAAAATAGAATGAGGCGCCACTCGGGCCGCTCTGTGCGTTCAACGGTGGGATTCTTGAGGTAACTCCAACGGTAGGCTTTTCCACTGGTAGGTCCAGAATAGGGTAGGCAGTTGTGGTGTTTGGCAAGCTACCATGTTTTGCACGGTTGAGAGGCGTCGCGGCGCTGGCCACCTTTCCGGCGACAATAGTGGACGAGTCATCATGCTTCTTGACAAGTCGATCGAGGACATTGAACTGCTCGGCTTCGAACGCATTCATGCCGCAGGAAGATCCGTTGAAGAGGTCTCCACTAGGAGCCTGTGGTGGCGAGAGATCCGAGTGCGATGGGAATAGATTGGGCCATTTTTTGCCAGCCTCACTAGAAGCACGTGCAAAGGGGCTAAAAACAACCCGTCTGGCTTCATTGACAACCACACTTGGAGAACGTCTTGCGGAGCGGAGATATTGTGGGCGTGGAAATGGGAGCTTAGGGTCTCCGTACATTTTTGGGTCAGCGTTTGGTCCCCCCGCGTTCTGTGCGCCATGGCTCTGCTGATGATGCGATGCTTCTGCCAAACGTTAGGTTAGTTGTACGAAGACATCGAAAAGGGAAAACTTACGAGCAGTTCCGGTTGGTGTAGCTTGGGCTTGTGTTCTCCGAGATCTGCTCTTCGCGAACACTCTCTGCCTCGTGCCGAATGATCCGGACTGTTCATCGTCCTCCGATTCGTCTGAGCTTGAGCTCGAGTAGTCCACAATAGGTTCAGCGGTGCATGGCTCGCTCATATTGCTAGCTCTGGTTGCTCGGGAAAAGGTCCGCTTGGGAGAAGTGTTGAGATTGGTGTCTGACCCAACTCTGCTGCCAGCATTGAACTCGGGTGACAGGTGAGGGGTACCACCGGGTCGACTTGGGCTTGCACTACGGTGTCTCTCACGGGTCCTTGACGAGCCAGAACCCCTACCGCCATCGGTCCTTCCAGACGGAGTTCTAGTGCTGTTGGATCTGCTGAGGTTGACCGACTCGAATGGGTCCGTCTTTTCGCCTCCATGGCTCGCATATGGAGTGCTTAGTCGCGGCTCCAATGGTGTTCCAGTCTTCTCTCTGAACTGTCTCAAAGGGTCCACAGGCGCGTTTCTTGGTGGGGTCTTCTGAGGTGGTGGCTGTTGCTTTGCAGTTGGTGCCCTGCCTGCGCGTTGTGTATAATATGCGGAGGTATTCGCGGCAGCCGGTTCGTCTCCACCAGCGGCGCCAGGGGCGTAGCCGTTCCTCTTTGGAATCGGTGGTGGTTGGGGCTTTGGGGCTTGCTGGCGGGAGCTTCTTCTGTCGTCCGTGCCTGGTGTTGGCTGATATCCATGGGGGTTATATGAAGGAGGCGCCTTTCCACCCCGCATTGTTGACCAGGCCTCATATGTCTTTCGTCGTGCCTCGGCCCCATCATCCTCTGCTGGCTTTGCCCCGGATGAAGCCGACGTATATGCTCCCGAGCCAGGCTTAAAATTGTTCGCATATCGCTGGGCACCTGCAGATGGCGGTGGCGGCTGAGCTCTTGTTCGTGGCGCTCTTGGGGGAGGAGGGAAGTCGGTAGCAACGTTTGCCCATGGGTTGCCTCGTGCAAATCCAGATGCGGGACGGGCTTGCGACGCAAAGCCACCTCCAACGCCGCCGCCTCTGGAACGTCCTACATCGTATTTTGCTCGCTGTTCTGGGTCGGTGAGGACTTCGTGTGCTGACTGGATCGTTTGGAATTTCGCATTAACTTCGAGCTCGCGTCCTGGATTGCGATCTGGGTGGTATTTCAAAGCTGTGAGGTGAAGATGGTTAGAAACGGCGAGCGGCCGCAATGTGTAAGAGGTACTAACCCAGGGATCTGAACTGCTTCCTGATCTCAATCTCAGTGGCATTGGGTGCAATCTCCAGATCACCATAGTAATCGCGTGTCAAGTCGGCCTTGGCCATTGTGCCTGGACACAAGGACGATTAGGCCTGGGTCAGTCGTTTTGGGTGGCAGATCTTGGCATATAGCTCGACTGTGTCGAAAAGCCAACGTAAGTCTGGCTTGCGGCAACGAGGCCAAGGATAGAGAGTGGGAGGTGGGTGGGCTTGTAGGCTATGGGGGAAAGTGGAAAAGCAAGGTCTGACCAAGGGCACAGCGAGAGAAAACGAGCTGGTGATGGGCGCAGGAAACAAATACAGTATCTGATACACAGCCACGAGATGTTGGGCGGTGCAACAGATGGCGGGATTGTGCAGTTATTTCGGATGGCGAGGCGGAGAGAATGTTTACCAAAAGCACTATACAGTCAGGATGAGGCAGGTGAATTTAGGCGAGGCCAGCCCAGCATCGAGTACATCGGCGGGCATCGGCGGGATTTGGCTGTACAGAAGAGTATATCATATATTGAGAATATTATCATTCTTATCATATATTGAGAATATTATCATCTTGCAAAGGATATATCATATATTGAGAATATTATGTTAACTTACCCGTTTATATATTTTGAGATACTGTAAAGTGCATACCAGAATAATAGTGACATCGTCTCTCATACAACTTGCTGAGTACACCCAAGTACACTTTTATCATTTGTTGACCAGCCAATCAACGGCCTTCTTTTGGCGAGGCTGTCATTATCCATAGAATATCACGTGATCAGCCATTAAACTTTTAGTGGCCCTTGCGTCCCTCTTCCCGCCCGTCCACTAACGGCTTAGCGTCACTACTTAGCGTCACGGCAGAATCCCCCGCCAACTGCCATATTAGGTACCGCCCTTAGTACTCTATTGTTCCGTACTGTATTAGTGAACAATCAAGAGACAAACTCGGATATTTCACCTCCAAAATATTCTTCATTCTTGGGAATAACTACTCAAAAAATCCTCGATCCTGAGCTCCTCACCAGGAATTCCCTTCATTTATAATTCCGAAGGACACTCCTGTCCTGTCAGTCTTGCTGTACTGCTCTCCAAACGGATACTGCACCTGCGAGCTCCAGCTGATCGGCGCCGTTGAGGGGATCTGCATACTCCGTACAATCCAGGGCATCTTGACAATTCACATTCCAGCCCCCTGCAGCTCGAGCAACACAAATCTCACAGGGATCTCCCCAACAGACCAATCTCACTGGCATATAAGCCCAATCGACCTCGCTGGCCACGCTGAGCGCTGAGCACACAGATTCGTGCTTGTCCAGCCAGGCCAGTCCATTCCCACCGCCTCGTCGACCCCCTCGTTCTTGCCCTAATCCACCTCCACTTCACCACCTTGAACCAGCGCACATAGCTTCTTTGGACACCTCCCATGCCTGCGTCTCCCCCCGCGGCACCCCGCGCTCGTCTCTCCAATTAAACGCACCCTCCCGCGCCAAACTACCTCACTCTACTCCACAACCCGCGCCTCAGCCTCAATCCCTCGCGCTAGCTCCACCACCCTCCCCGCCGATCCCCGCCATGCCCACCTACCTCATCCACGGCTTCCGCTGGTACCGCATCTCCATCCGGCAATACGTAGCCACCTACGACGTCGAAGACGCAGCCCCCGACTGGATCGTCACTCCCGCCTCCTCCCACGCCCTCCTCAACTCCCTCTACACCCTCCACGACTTTATCCCGCCCTGCCAGCAACCAACTTCCACCTCCCTCTCCTCCTCTTCAACCGCCACCCTCACCCCGCCCTTTCATTCACCCACCCGCACAACCACCGCCCCCGCCCCCGCCCCCGCCCCGCGAGATACAGGTCTCTCCCCACCACGTCCGCACCTCCTCCCCCGCTCCGCCAACGGCGTTGCGGCTTCAGCTCCCCCCGCCCCTCTCACCCGCCGAACGCGCATTCAACGCCTGGTCCCCCGTCAAACTCCTCGAGCAGCACGATATCCTCGCCCCCGCCATCTCAGAGCCCTACGCCTACGTCGGCGACGCACTAGTCCGCATCTCCCTCTCCGCAGACATCGGTGCCGAGATCGCAGCATATGAATCGCGCCAGGGATGTCGGAGGGAGGGCGCCTCGATAGGAGAGTTGAGACGCCTGGGCAGGGAGGAAGGCTGGATTGGGAAGTTAGCGGGGCATTTGGAGCCGAAGGAGCGGGTTGGGTGGTTTGTGGTTGTCTGTGGAGATGAGGAGAGGTCGTTTGGACGGGGGGGTGGGGAGAGGGAGGAGAGGGAGGGGGTAGTTGAGGCTGTTGTGAGGAAGGAGAGGAGGGGGTTTAGGAGGTTTTTTGGGGGGAGGGATAGGGAGGAGGAGGTGGAGGTTAGGAGGGTTAGTAAGTCGAGGAGGGGGTGAGAGGATGGGTGTTGGAGGTGGGTGACTGTCTTCTTGGGTTTGGTTTTGGGGAGTTGAAAATGGTGTTTTGGGGCAATGGTTTATGTGTTACGAGAGCAGAGGGATAGGATAGCGAATACCGCACCGCGTCAACCGAGTATTCCACAAAGTCTTCTAAAATAAACTTCCCTCCCCTCTAAGTCTTCCCCTCATAATCCCTCTTCCAAACCTCATCCCACCTCCCCCTATCCAGCGCAAACTCCCTCACAAACACATGCTCCAACTCATGCGTCCTCCTCCCCAACAACACCAAACTATGCAACGGCCCCCCCAACACCCCATCCGCCCCCTCCACCAACTCCTTCAACGTCCCACTCACAAACGTCTCCCCCCTCGCCCCCACCCTCGCCGCTCCCACCGCCAAACTCTCAGGCCCATACGCCCCCTCCCCTCTAATCTCCTCGCTCTCCAGCATTTGCTCCGCGCACTGTCCTACCGTCATGTATCGTGGGGGCTCGTAAATCAACCTCCCCCTAGCCATATTCTCAAGACTCTGTTCCTTGACTTTGATATCGAGCAACACGAGCGTGTGGACGCCGATGGTGCGGTTCTCCTTGACGCGATCGTAGAAGGAAGTGGGTTTCCAGGAATCGGTGAAGAAGACCATGGAGACGGTTTGGCCGTAGTTGTAGAGCTGAAGCCCGGCCGCGCCGATGGCCGACATGATGGAGGCGTTGGGGATGCAGGTTGTGGGGATGGAGAGCTCGCGGGCGCGGATGGTGAGGTCGGTGTGTGTTGTCGCTCTGGGGGGGGGGTTAGTTAACAGCCTTATGGGGGTGGAGGGAAAAGAGGGGGAAAGGGGAGGGAGGGGGAGGACGGGGGAGGACGGGGGAGGAGGGTACCCGTAAGGATCCCCGACGACGAGGAAAGCTACATCCTCCGTCTCCGCGCCTTTGAGGATAGAATCACTATCCGACTCTACCATCTCGCGATCCGCAACTATAACAGGGCGCCCATAATATTCCTCCTACTTCCCATTAAAAACCATCCAGTAGTATCCCACCACAGCACGAGGCATAAGGGCATACCAAAACTTTCGTCTCCACCAACAAAATCGCCGTATAATTCTCCAAATACACCCTGGCAGCTTTCTTCACAATCCCAAGCCCCTTGACGGTAATATCCGTCTCGTCTGATAGGCCGAGGCCGATGAGGTAGAGCATCCTTGCTGTGGAGGTGTTTGGGGAGGGGAGGAGGGGGGAGGACCTTGAGGGTTGGTTGGTGGGGTGGAGGGGCAGGAAATTTTGGGGGTGCAAACAGGCCAAACACGATAAGAGTTTTTGATGGGAGCTCTTATCGGGGATTACCTCGACGTCGTCGTCGCTACCTCCATCCCATCGCGGTTCCATAAACGGAGCAAGAGTCGAACAACTACTCTGCTCACCCTCTCTCAACTACCTCAACTAATCCATCACCTCCCTCGATCGCACCAAACGCCACCCACAATGACAGAACGCAAAGGCGCCTACGGCACCGCCGCCTCCGACACCGACTTCCGCAAAAAATACGACCGCGCCGAATACGCCGAAAAGGCGCGCGTCCGCGAGGCCGCCGAGAAAGAAGAAGGCAAGCTCCGCTACGAAGCCAAGCTCGCGGGGAAGAAATACTACGCCCCTCTCACCGGCGACGAGACTCTCACGGAGGCGCGAAAGAGCAGGCTGGATGTTGCAGGGAATGTTGGGAAGATTAGTCTGTTGCCGGCGGGGGCGGCGACGGGGAAGAGGGGGAGGGGAGGGGGGTTTTGGTGTGAGGCTTGTGATTTGACTTTTAAGGATAATTTGCAGTGGGTTGAGGTGAGTGCTCTCCCTGTCTTGCGGACTACGATGGGGGGTTGTGCTAATGGGGTTATAGCATGAGAATAGTATGCAGCATCTCCGCGCGATCGGCCAAACAGGTGAGGTCAAGCGCGCGAGCGCAGAGGATGTACACGAGCTAATCGAGCGCATCTGGGCTAAGATGGAAGAAGAGCGCAAAGGGGACGTGAAGACGCTTCGAGAACGGCTCGAGGGGCGCGCGGAGGAAGAGGAGAAGGTGAGAGAGGAACGGAGGAAGAAGAGGCGGGAGCTAGCGCAGAAGAGGAGGGAGGAGAGGGAGAAGGAGATCAAGGTTAAGTCGGAGTATGATGAGGATATTAGGGTGGAGGGGGAGCATGATGTCGAGGATATGGCGGCGATGATGGGCTTTGGGGGGTTTGGGACTTCGAAGAAGTAGGGCTAAGGGAAAGGCTAATTTGGGATATTTAGCGCTGGCGTTGGAGGGTTGTGATATTGGGAATTTAAAATGACTCTTTAAAGAGTAGAGAAGAAGGATTTTACGCAAGGCTGGGGTGCATGTTTGTGGTTGGTGATATATTATCTGGGCCGAGCCACACGAGGCTGCCTGTCCATGTTGGAAGTGCCGACTTGGGCAATCCCACAATGCTCCCAGCCTTCTTATCCCATTGCTTCAGTTTCACTTTTATTGTTTTTTGCATGCCCAATAGCGAGAATGAATGCGCGGGCTGTGCTTGGCTTGCAGAATGGCCATGCAATAGGGGATGCAGATTCCAAGGACCTTGGTGTAGGTGCAAGGCTGATTGGCGAATGCACTTGGTCGGATGCAATGCACCACACCATCTGCAATCGGTATGCTGGACAAATACTGGACAAATCGTGATTGCTGAGCCTCTTATGGTGAGATAAAGCCGGGATGGGTAGCTGTCATTTGGGACGGTTGGTCGGGAACTCGAAATCCCAACTCAACAAGTCGACAAATGGGCCCCTTGAGCGTCTTGGGCCCTGCTGGGAGTCTGGGGGACCTAATCAGTGCAACAGGAAAGTTATCTAGGCAGCTTCATCGACTCGCGAAACGGGTTAGAACGGCGGGAGAGGATATTCACCTGTTTGCTTGTATGCTATCGATGTTTTTATTTGCTTCGGATCGGGCATGAGTTTACATCCTTCAACACTATTCAAGTGGGACTGAACTACTCACACTCTCGATAGTGAAGGAAAAGGATTTTTTGAGGGATGCCGAAGAGTACGCAAAATATATTAAGGACAATGTCGACAACATCAAGCCGCGCATGAGTTCAATGGAATCTTCTTCGATGATAGACCTAAGCCTAATCTCAAAATTGAAAATTGAGGTGGGCTATAAGAAAGTCGGAAGTGCATGACCTAACATTTAAAATGAGGGCATTGGAGTCATCGCTCCTCCTGATGATTACGGTTGTCTACGAGGTACAAATACAGCAAATGGCAGCTCCAGAGGGTTTGTAAGTTTTCCATGGTTTAAGGGGAGGCGGAGAGCTAACTTGTTAATTAAATGGCAATAACGATGCGCCAAATTAAGAACTTCGTGAAGGAAGCAAAAGTTATAGTTTTGTGAGGATGCACGACCAAGACTCCCAAGAAGAAGAACTCATTCGCAAGAAAGGCGTCCTAGAAGAACAACCCCTCCGCAGGAAAGGCTCACTGGCTCTCCTCGATCTCCAATGCCTCCTAACGAAGGGATATCTATCAATGTCGCCCCACGTAACCAAGGAAAGGGCAAAGAGCGTGGACCTCCAGAGGCTTCTGACGAGTATAAAATAGTCAAAGGCCGAGTGTCTCAAACGGTCGGCACCAATTCCAAACCTCGAAGTCGAACTATCAGCGCCAGGCTATACCCTAACTTGCCCATGTACGCCATGTCTCGAGACTTGGCTGAACAGTTGGGTCTGGACCTCACTGCCGTTGATAGCAACAGCTTAAGGACCTCGCGGGTGGTTGGGTCACTTGAACCAGAGCTTCATCATATCGTTGGACATGTTGTGTTCGGGTGGCACATGCCTGCATCTTTTCTCTGGCCCCTCGCCCTGGGCCAGCCTTACATACACCAGGTTAAATAGGGAGGGCGCCTTCCAGGAGGGGATGCTCGGGAGCTGCTGCAGGTTCGTAAGTGGGGAGTAATTATGGGCAGTTATGTGATTTTAGAAATCCCGAATACAAAGATGAAGGCAACCAACCGTGCTATAATATTCCTAACTTACCAGATTACTGGTTGACTTGACAGAGGAGGCAGGGGATTAGACACAAAGGCTTTCCAAGTAACACGTTACAGTATTGTAAAGAATACTATATTGAGTTGAGCACGAAGCTCCTATCTAAGGAAATACTATCTACTTATATAGTGGCGTCGTGCCTCATGGGTAATCTGGATAGTTGGCGGATAGCTAGATATTCAGGATAGTTCGTGGATAGCTCAACTATCCAATATCCACTAGTTTCTGCAACTATCCATTAGCCCCGTCACATGGCAGCCTACCCCGCTTCCCACTGTGACTCACACATCACGTTACTAGGCCCTGGCCCTGTAACCATGACATCATGTTACTATAGCCGTAACAATGCTGGCAATGGCCTGGAGATGTTTGGTGATGGGTAGCTCAGCGAGCTTGCCAGACGGGAGGTTTTCATGATAGGTAGCTCGGCAAGCTTGCTGGACAGGGAGGTTTTCGTGATAGGTAGCTTGGCGAGCTTGGCGGACAGGGGAGGTTTCTTTATGGCTGCCAATGGATTGGAGATATTGGTCGAGGGCCTGAGATATTCATTGGGAGGCAGCTCGGCAAGCTTTCCAATTGGATATATTTGCCTCTTGGGGGTATAATTGATGGATTTCAATCTGCACCAAGGTTAGCCAGCTGTTGGTTCTAGGAAAGGTGGAGAGATCATCCTGGGGTATGCTTTGGGCCAGGTTGATGCAAGCTTCAGAGATGCTCGGAAAAGGTCCAGAGATGTTCTAGGATGCTAGAAATGCATTGATTTGATGGTTGGGTGAGGTCAAATGATGCTTTGACAAACTCGAAGAGCTCGGAATAAGGCTTGAGAGCAAGCATCCAACTGGCTTTTTCAAATCCAAACATTTCGTTCAAGTGAAATTAACTTATCTGACCTTACTGAATCAATACCAACCCTGATGGTAGATCAAACCTTCAGCGAAGGTTGATTCGAAGACTGGCTGTGAGTTGGAGGTGAGGCGGCTCTTACTTTGAGTATTGGCGTGGGATCGCCAAACACGAAAGGCGGGGATGGGCAGTTTTGACATCACCATCCTCAGACCATCAGGACAAGCATCATAGGTAGAAATAGGAATAGATAAGTATACAGGTAATTGGATACATTTATTAAAGCTACAGCTACAGCTACAACCTCACCTTTGGTCTGTAAAAGCGCTCCTGTTCCTTCATATCCCTATGTCCCCTATATCCCCATGCCTACTCTCTCACATCAGCCCTACATCCCACCAACAATGAATGAACTTTGCTGAATAACTTAAAGCAGCCGAAGATAACTGCTCAGCGTGGTATTCCGTGGTGTTAAATCTCAAGCCGCCCTTCCCAAATGGCGCCGGTTCATTCCTTCTTGTGGGATCTGTGCGAACGATATAAACCGGCTTGGTGCCAATACCTGGGAGACCAACAATCATCTGTGTCGAGTTTTTTATTCTTACCAACGGCAACATGACCAGCTCATCCTCCTCTCCGCAATCTTCAAGCTCGGTGACAAGGACAAACAGCCGCTTCTCACCTAGTACCCGCTCATGAACAAGGCCCATGTCGAAACGACACATGGTGCTACCACGAACAAAGAATGCGATCCTAGTCTCAAAAGTAATGCGGCGCTGGGAGATTCTGTTTGGCTTTTTATCAGCTACTATCAAGTTAATAATATTAGGAAATGGAAAACTCACGGATCTGTAAATCCAAGCTGGGAGAACCATTCAATTGGTTGTGTTCCCAGATTTGTTATATGCGGCATCTGATAGTCTTTTGTATATGCCTGCCAGAGCTGACGAATGAATGGATGCTGTGCTGGGATCCCCTTTATAGATAATGGGAGATCGAGGTCATTTTGTATGTAGGCCCGTGAAGCACATCTCATTGCCCTTGGCCGGATATGTGCTGCATCTTCCAATATGCCTGGGTTATCTCTTTGACATTATCAGGTTGCTCTGGAGATGGCATAATCTGGCCCATAAGACTTGGGCATTTCTCGTAGAGAGATTTTAACTGACTTGAAATCTCTGGCTCAGAATACTTGAATGCTCCTTGGAGAAGGAGCCGAATGGTGGTGTTGATTGACTCGCGCATCATCAAAGAACGCTCAACTGAGCGTCCATTTAGTGCCTCCGCCCACTTCTTAAAAAGCCTATCTCAATAATCAGAATAGAATCAAATAAATAAGGGAAGGACAACCTACTTATGCTTGTCCTCGCAATGGAGAACATTGCAGCTGAAACTATTTCCATACCTCCCAATTGTATCGTTGATATGGGCTCCTTGGTGGACGTTCGGCCGGCTGCGCCATTTTATATAATATTTGAGGGATCCTGATGCTGTTTTTAAATCCATCATACTGGTAACCAGTTCGAATTCTTGTTGCACCGACTGCTCGATTGAATCTATAACACTGCAGAAATCCTCGGTAGCTGTGTCAACACTTGGTGGACTAACTGATGGCGTTAGAGACGCATTCCCCTTTCCTTTCCCTTTTCCCTTGCATTGGTTCCGAACTTTCATCTGTGAAGCCAGAGATGCAGCGTTGCAGAGCCCCCGATACATGCTACGGCCCTCAAATATTGCCTTCTCGGCATCCTGGTGCTGTCCAGGCTTCATCCTCCATGCGCAAGTGGTTGCATTCGACTTGGCTATCGATGCAAAAGCAAGCACAACAAGCTGTTCTGGCGTCAGCTTTAATAGTCTCAGTTTCGTTCGGAATTCAGATTGCATGGCCTTATAAAACCTCCACAAATATCTTCCTTCTCGAGTGGCATGCATTGCAATATCAGGGGCGTTTGCATCGAGGCCATCCCAGCCTCAGAGAGGCTCCAGGATTTAAGATGATGAAGGGGCGACTGTCGTCGTCCCCATCTTGCTGGCGATGGGAACCTTGTGAACTCTCTAAAGTATTTTTGAAGTCCCGATTTTGACAGTATTGCCGTTGTGAGGAGAAGCTGGGATTGCTTCCCTTGCCCACCATATTCTGAATGACACACATCCGGAGGCTGACTCAGCACAATATCAAGCGCTGGTGATATTTTGAACAACGCAGGCTCGGTTTCACGCATTCCCCATTGCTGGTACCACGCCTTCTTTTTTGCAGGAGGAAGTGTGCTTCCATGCTCTCGGAGCTGGACCTGGTGATGGTGGTATCCGCCAAGCCTCATGTAATCAAAGTGGATGTCTCCACGCTCCTCTTTCGAGGCCAAGCAGCTTCTGCAGCCCTTGGCTGCATTCTGGCGCAGTATCCCAGCATTATCGTTCTGCTGGGGCATGTCCCCAATATATCCTAGCGTAAAAGCCATAACCAGCTTTTCCTCGCCTTTGATATTAAGGGACATGCCCCTATTCAGCTTTGGGAGGTCCAAAATGGACAGCAGAACATCATCCATGTTTGACCCATGCGGTCCAAGAGTGATCACAAAGACATTTGCATGATGCATCCATGTCTTAAGGGGCTGGTGTCATACTGACATTCGTTGCACTCAGTTTGCTATCAAACTCAAGAGCAAACTTGGAAATCTCCTCCTCAAACCTACAAGTCACCATACATATCTTGGCTTATCACACCAACAACAGAAGCAATACTACTCCGATTGCTGCAAACTCTTCTACTACATCTGTTTATGCTACATACATCATATCATTTGGACACTCATTGAACAAGTTATTAAGAAAATCTTCTCCTTAAGGGGGTGGGCCAATACTACCACATGACATATCTCTACCAACTAGAGGCCTAGGAACATGAACGATAGCTCTAGAAGCTTCTACAACCCTCTATGATTCATTACACGTCATCGCTCCTTAGTTACCCACAAGATTGGTTAAGTTATGACATAATTTGTCTATAGGTACTCTGACCTTGGACCTCCTTTTCACTTCCTATAGGCTAGGAACCCAAGAGATGGTTCTATGGGATTCTCTTACGTTCACTACATGATTAGCAAGCTAGTTGTGGGTCGCACTTGATTTCTAATACATTTACCAAGCCTGGTTAGTCATGGAAAGTCATGGAAAATGAGAGAACTACACTCCTTTGGCATAAATAGGATTGCCCTTTCCTTAAGAAAGGGCAAGCAATACAGTAAATCGACTAGCACATACTTCTACGTCTTTTCCAAGCTTCCAAGCATTGATCTTGTTATTCTCTGTTTTTGAAAAGTCAGTGAGGTGCTAACCTCTGACTTACCCCTGAGTTCTCAGACTCAACATTTGTTGCAACTTGTCTAAACCACTTCACCACATCATACACCTGATTGCTGCATTGTGGAATAGCAGCGGGTTTGGGGAGGGGGGTGAGAGACGGTGCCGAGATGACGGCGGGGTGAGGTGGGATCTGTGATGACGGTTTGTGTGACCGGTCAGCGATGGCGGCGAGGTATGCAAGGTTATATTGTATCCTCCGCATGCATCTGTCGATCGTTAGTAGTGGTCTTCCATAGTCATATCAACAGAACATACTCCACGAATTCCTTGCCCGTAACAGGATCAATCTTAGGCTTCTCCTTCGCCTTCTCTTTGTCCTTCGCTCCCTTAGCCCCGTCCTCTTTCTCATCCTTCTTGTCGTCCGCCACACGTCACTTTCCCATATCTCGTTTGGGGTATCCACGAACGCCCCGAGTCCCTTCCAGAAGTCCTTGTGGAGGTCTTCTGCTGACAATATTGCAGTTACCAATGTTGCAACATCAAACCAGTGTGCATCAGCCTGGCGGTCCTTTCTCGGGCCTGTCTTCTCCGCCGGCGTCATTGTCGGGAGCTTCTCTTGGTTGAGATCAACCATCTTGTGCCATAGTGGGAGCAATGGCAGTTGCGCCATAAACTGTTTCTTTAGAGTTGTAACATCTCGTGGCAACTCTACTGCTTTGATGTTAAGATCTTGTCCGAGAGGTAATCCCTCATTAAGATCTTGATAGGCCTGCCGGGACAGATTGTACTTTTCAGCCCACATGGCCATGAACGCCAGGTATGGGCTGAATGGCTGTGATGATCGGTTGTGCTGGACAAGCTCAGAATCATCTTCGCTGAGGATGGAAGCGTGTTCAGCGGTGGCTGGAACGGGGGGAGGGGGCATCCTCAAGTCATCAGGAAGGAAGTCCTCTGTAGGGATCTCTAGCACAAAGACGTCGTTTCTGGCAGTGGCAGGATCATCCACAGGAATGTGGCCTGAAAGATCCTTGATTGCTTTCTCGGTGATTTCCTGGAGATCTTGGGGTTGGGGCAGGGGCATGTCGATATCGGAATCGCTGTTGCTGCCAATTGTGTCATAGTCATTATCATAGTCATCACTAGCATCGCCATTAATCATAGCGTTAAACTGTATACTTGTATCTGATGGCTGATCTCCATGGTTTCCTGCCTGTATACCTAATGCATTATGTCCACCACTGTCGACTGCTGGTGCACTGGGCCTAGGGATTGGAGCCCGGAACAAATGTGCCCTCTTCTTCAGTCGAGATCACAATGGTTGAGGAGGCATTGCCAAAGATAGCCAGCTATGGCTGACCTATGTATTGGGTGGTTGCAGTCGACCAATCTTCTGGTTTTTGGCTCAAGTCCGGTTGCACCCAAATCCACTTTATATTTCCAACCTCCAAATGAGGTGTTTAAGATATCTTGGATTTTTCCAGGGCTAGGAAAACCTGGGAAGCTCTGAGCAAAATCCTGTTTGGGGGGGGGGGACTGTTGGTGAAGCACAGCATGTGTCAGCTGATGTAACGGGTGCCGCCGTTACAGTACATGTGGTATATAAAGCGTGTTACGCGTATTCCGGGCAAGCCGGAATACTGTAGTCTTTTTGGCTCAGTGGGATGTAGCGCGAGCGTAACCGTACATCGTTACAAGAGTATTCCGGCTCACCGGTCAATGGGTTTTGATTGGCTCGCTAGTTGGGTGGGCTAAGCGAGCAATCAGTGTAATTCCTTACCTGGCTGACAAGGGGGCGTCCTTGGGGGCTTAAGCTATTATATACACACCTTAGCATCCTGAGTAGTAACGGGCCTAGAAGCAAGTACGAGATGATACGCTAGAAGCCTCTACATCCGTGCCAGGACGTCACAGACTAAAGGGGGGGGTAATTGTAACGGGTGCCGCCGTTACAGTACATGTGGTATATAAAGCGTGTTACGCGTATTCCGGGCGAGCCAGAATACTGTAGTCTTTTTGGCTCAGTGGGAAATAGCGCTAGCGTAACCGTACATTGTTACAGCTGACCACATTGGAGAAGTGGTTTCACAGGAGCTAAGAGTTCTCAGCCAAGAGATTTGAATGTCCTCGAGGAGCTGAGATGTGGTTTAGCGACAGCTCACAATGCCTGGGATGTTTTGGCGACAGCTCACGTGCCTGGGAGCTTTCAGCAATAGATCGGTGATGGGGCTGGATGCCCCGGATATTTCAGCAACAGCTCACGATGCCTGGGAGCTTTCAGCAATAGATCGGTGATGGGGCTGGATGCCCCGGATATTTCAGCAACAGCTCACGATGCCTGGGAGCTTTCAGCAATAGATCGGTGATGGGGCTGGATGCACAGGATATTTCAGCGACAGCTCACGATGCCTAGGAGCTTTCAGCAATAGATTGATGACAGGGCTGGATGCCCAGGATGTTTCAGCGATAGATTGCTGACAGGGCTGGATGCCTAGGATGTTTTGGTGATGGATTGATGACAGGGCTGGATACCCAGGGGCTTTTGGTGATGGATTGGTGATGGGGCTGGATACCCAGGGACTTTTGATATCTAGAGAGAATTTCCAGTGCTAAGGCGATTCCGAGAGATTTGTTTGGTAGCTGGAGAGAACAGCTTCGAAAGAACTTGGTGTTTCTAGTGCTGCGGGGGGAGTATCTTTGCTAACGATCTTTTCTAGCCTCAGTATATCAGTTTGGTTGGTGAACTTGAGGGCAACGAGGCACAGGTATGAGCTGCCAAGATACAAACAGGTTGGAGGTATAAGTGGCCAAGCTGTAGATGGGTCGGAGGATAGTTCAGATAGAAAAACTCATGCCGTGAGGTGAACACACAAGGATATTTGCTCCAGACAGTGAGGTTGTTTCAGCAAGTTATCAGTCTGACACGTTTGCTGAACTTTGCTTCTGTTCTGAGGCTTTGTGTAAACCTATAAAACAATTAGTAATGATCAAGATTCCTTTCTTTCCTTGACTTGCTTCTTCTTTCTTCTGTGGGCAGTGTTGACACGAAGTGAGGTTGGTGATGAGGTGGAAAAGTGAGAAACGGCTGTGAATCACATTGGTCACGTGACCGTTTTGGGATTTGAAGCCATTTCCACCATTACTGCCTACATCACTACCATATCTGCAGCATCACTAAGGGTTGAAGGTTGTCACCTATCGTAAGTCTTTCATCGTTTATATTATTCGATTTCATATTCTGTCTGTTATCTTGCGCCAGTAGGCAAATCTCTCTGTTTATTTCTATCAAACTAGGCATTCTGTTCATCACTCTCATCAAAATGCGACCATTTGATCCACCGCAGAAACGGTCCCGCGTTATGCCTCTGACGCCTAACAATACAGAGTCACACATTGATGTGAGTTGTTTTCTATCTTTCTATGCTTATAACTAATGCCTATTTAGCCCCTCCTTCGAAGTCGCAGCGTTTTCGATGATGATCTGTCAGAACATGCATCAAACGACAACCATGACCAGTTCTCTGAGAGTGAGATTACCCTGACCCAGGACGAACCAGCTTTGTCAAGAAGCGCCCTCCGATTATACGTCCGCAACACTGCATCTGCCTCATCCAAAAAAAGGAAGCGTGCATCCGCAAAGCAGCTGCTGAAGCTGAAGCAGCCGGCGCAATGGTTGAAAGTCAAGGGCAAAAGGCCATTGGAAATGTACACCCAGGACGGCTTGACCAAATAATTACAGCTGAAATGAATGTCTATCAAGCTGCAAACTTCTCGCAAGAGAAGGAGAAAACTAATGCAATTGATAGAGAGGCGCGATTTCTTCTGCTGCAACATTTCACGCATGACCTCCCTGGTTTAAAGGAAGAATAAATCCGCAAAGTGGTCCCAAACTTGCCCCCGTATTCACGGGCGATCGAGAGTTTGCGCTGCCTTATCCAGGACAAGATGCGAGGCTGGAAGTATCATCTTCAGAATGACATCTTGGTAAGTAATTGGATCTACAAAACATATTAAGGTATGGTCTCACATATCTTAGACACATGTCAAAACAGCCATGGAGGCTGACGAATCGGGGCTCCTTGCATCTTGTGGTAATATGAAGGACCTTGTGAAGACATTTCAAAGACGTTTTACTCCGGAGAACTTCTTTGAAGTTTTCCAATTCGTGTGCCACTATTTGAGCCTCGAAGAAAGCACTCAGCTGGCGCAACTGTATGCCATTGATATCTACATGCACTTCTGTGCAAGGGCAAAGCTGATGGCCGATTGGGAGCCCAAACCACCCGGAACACCACCCGCACTCACACGCAAATTTGACAAAATATATGGAACAATTCTCACTCTTTGATTTGGGACTTGAGATCTTGCCGCCCACCGCCAAATTTGCCGAATCCATCTCTCTCTTTCTGTCAGCTTTCCTTTTGGCTTTCTGATATCTTTTCTGTGTTGATCCACAACTCAAGATCCTGCTGCCGCCGCCGCCATACCCATTTCTCCCCTGATGCTAGCGCGTTCTTGCCATCATGAGTATCTGGTCTGGCTATATCATTCAATTCTATGCTAACTTATCTATAGGTCTATTCCATACATCACCACGATGAGCTGCCGCTGGCCCCCGAATCCCAATCCCATTCATCGCTGCGATGAGCTGCCGCGATAAGCTGCCGCCAGCCCCTGAACCCCACTCCCAATGCGCCAACCATGGCTTGAACGATCTGCTCCAAGGATACCACTGACTGCCGCCATCAGTTCCATTCTTATGGCGGCTGTATGACCGTTCACTGTGACAAGAATGGCGCCATCACCAAGGCGGAAGCGCTTTCGATCAATCTTTTGGGTCGCCATGATCGATCCACGATTTAATGGGTAATCATGGCCCAAACACAACCACGGGAGCAAGATACAGAACGGTAAGTCAATTTCATGATTCTACAACTATCTACATTCTATTTACTGACTCAAGGCTTCAACCATTCGAGATCAGGAATGGTTGGTGTAGGAAACGGTCCCTCCATGGGTGCACGGACCAGGAAACCGTGGGCTGCCCGCTCTTTTTTCCGAACGGCCTTAAAACGGTCCCACCACTCTTAAAAATTTGGCTGGGACCCCGGTAAGGTACACAACATCCCCAACCAATCCCAGCACCTACTCCAGCAACTGAATTCAAATAAAATGTACAGATAGCCAACCCCAACTCGCGCGCTCTGTCCAAGGTATAAAAGCCCCTTCCCGTCGACACAAAAATAGATTATGAATCCCCGTGCCCCCCCCTTTCCCATCTCCATTTTCCTCCTTTCATAAAGACGCCATGCTCCTGCTGCCAGACACCGTTAAGCTGCTTCCCCCCTGTACACCTTTTTTGACAATCCTGTCCTTGCTGCGATTATTCTTGCTCTCACGCCCCTCAATCCTGGGGCGGCTACACTCGTCGCTCTACTGACCCTGACCACCCGGCTGCTGCATCCCCTGCACCGACGGCGATCCCATCCCCATCCCTCCCATATCCATCCCAGCACCCTGCTGCATCCCCGGCCCCATCCGCTGCTGCCCTCCCTGCTGCGGTCCTCCCGGCTGCCCAGGCCGCCACCCAGGCTGCTGCTGCTGCATCTGCTGCTGTTGCTGTTGCTGTTGCCTCATCCGCTGCAACTGCTGTTGCTGTTGCGCATTCGGCTGCTGCTGGGACATCTGCTGCATACCCTTCCGCTGCATGAATTCCATCTTCTGCGCCTGGCTCATCTGCGCGAGCTGCGCTTGCATTTGCGCTGCCATCTGGGCCTTTTGCGGGGCCGAGGGGCCTGGCTGCTGTTGCTGTTGTTGTTGCTGCTTTTGAGCTGCTTGTGCGGGTTGCACGGTCGGTTCTTTCTTGGGGTCCACGCCGGGGAAGAGCTCTTGGAGGCGCTTGTATTGTTTCTTCAAGGTCTCGGCGCGGTCTTCGACTTCGGTGTCTGCGGCGCAATCGGTGCTTTTGACTGAGCCATTGGGAGAGGTTGCCGACGAGGCAGCGGGTTTGGGGAGGGGGGTGAGAGACGGTGCCGAGATGACGGCGGGGTGAGGTGGGATCTGTGATGACGGTTTGTGTGACCGGTCAGCGATGGCGGCGAGGTATGCAAGGTTATATTGTATCCTCCGCATGCATCTGTCGATCGTTAGTAGTGGTCTTCCATAGTCATATCAACAGAACATACTCCACGAATTCCTTGCCCGTAACAGGATCAATCTTAGGCTTCTCCTTCGCCTTCTCTTTGTCCTTCGCTCCCTTAGCCCCGTCCTCTTTCTCATCCTTCTTGTCGTCCGACTCAACCTTCGCCTTTGCTTCCGCCTGCACCGCTTGTAGCCGCATCACCTCCATCAACAGCACCCTATTTATATCCAACAGCAGGCTAACCCTATCCTTCTCCCTCACTTCAGACCCAGGGCTCAACGGCGTAGACATAGCCCCAGCCGACGTGGGCAACGACGGCGTCACTGGCGTCTGCCCCGCTGATTGTTGCACCGGCTGCTGCCCTTGCTGTCCCTGCTGCGCGTGCGGCTGCTGTTGCATAGGCATCGCCATCTGCGGTGTTCCTGGCTGAGGAGGCATAAACTGCGACGGGGCCTGTGTATGCGGTGGTGTCGTGTGTTGTCCGGGGACAGAACCGTATGAAGAACCACGCTGTGGCGTTCCCATTTGCTGTTTTTGGTGCTGCTGAGGGGTGTGCATACGCTGCTGAGGCGCTGGCTGGACGAAGCTTGACTGTGCAGCATTCGCGCCAGCGGGGAGGAAAGCCTGTTGTTGAGGACCAGAGGATGGCGCGCCACCTTGCATGCCGTATGGGGAGTTGTTGTAGGGCGTCTGGTAGGATGCTATTGTGTCCGTGTTAGTGGCTGACTATCGATAACAGGAGGTACTTAAATAGCAAAGGCAAGAGCGACGCATGAAAATTACCGGTGTGCTTGGATCGGCACTGAAGGCGCGCATGAGGTGCAAGGCCAACATCTCGATACAGCACACGCGCAGCCCTCTGCCCGCTAGCGGTGCGCAATCAAAGACGATCAAAGCAAACATATCAAGAACTCACCAATGCCATTGTTTCCCGGACCCATATGCGGCATTCCGGCGCCGCCATTCTGCATCATCACCGCGTTTGGGCCTGGCACCATATTGGGCCCATTCATACCGGGGCCGTAAGGCGGTTGCTGCGGGCCGCCACCCATCGGCATCCCCCCGAATTGTTGGCCCTGCTGAGGGTTATACATCATCTGCTGCTGCTGTGCCGCGGGATTCTGGATGTAGCCAGGCTGTTGTTGTTGCGGTGGAGGAGGCGCATTAGGACCCGGCGCAAAGGGATACTGTGGTGCGTACATGGCCTTGGCCCAGGGGAGTGGGGGGGTGTGGGGGCCTGGGGGGGGAGGGGGGTATGAAGAGGGTCTGCGCTCGATGAGTGGCTATGGTTACTCGAAACTCTCGATGTTGGTTGTCAGGATGTGTCTTGGAGTCGAGGGTGTATCGTTTTATGCGAGGGATCTTCGCCGCTTCGAAATGTTTCAATGCGTACTTGTGCGGAGTGGGTAAGGTGCGACTGCTGGGGGGTAGGGATCGGTAGGGATCAGGAGGGATCAAGGGACGCGACCGACGCGACCGAGATGCAGCCTTCCTGTGACAGCACTGTATTGTACAGTACGGATGGATAAGATCTCAAGGATATAAGGCCGTGAGTGGCTGGGGAGAGTCAAATGGCGCGTCGACGGGGAATATGGCGGCTTTAGTTGTGGTATCTGGTGGCGTATTCGAATATGCGCTGGGTATGTATGATGTATGATAGGCTGCATGCGATATACAGTACTTATTGAGTATATTGGAGGATCTAGAAGGGGATCGTAAGTAGATGAAGCTGATTACTGGTGTAGAAACTGCGGCATCTCACTGATCTCGCTCTGTCGTTCTGTCGCTCTGTTTTCGGAGAATATGTCACGGTAGGACGGACGCTCGACTCGTGTACAAGGCTACAAAGGCCTAACGTTATACTATAATTGCCAATATTGTCTGGTATATAGCTTCACCGACACTTCAATGGCGTTTCGCCTTCTGTCAGAGGTATACGGAGGAGATATATACAAGGAGATATGAGGATATAAAGGTCTTAAAGGAGAAAATGATGTGTCTATTGCGACTGACGCGAGCTAGATTCAGGATACTTTGATAATCCGTCAGAGACAAAGGTGGTGCACGTGACCGCTGTTTGACGAGGCTGATGTTCAAGGACAAACAGAGCGACAGCGATGAGACTCATTATCTAGATTCATAAATGGCTTAAGAGATAGACAGGGTCGTCACTATGTCAGGAATCTCACATTGGGAATATGGGTCATCAATCTATTTGCATTATCTAGGAGAGCGTGTTCGTGCGCCTGGTCTTGTTGATATATGCTGCGTCTGCTTGCCTTTTGGCGACCATTTAATATATAGCCATTTGTGAGTATCACAAATACTCTAGTCACCATAAAGTGTTCTACTCTCTTCCAAAAAACGGCTGCGTATATCGACATATAAATTCCGGGTATCTCATTTCACATTATACACTTATTTTATCATCCACCCCCCCCTTATCCACTCCCCACCGGCCTCGCAATCCCACTCAAATTCACCACCCCCCCATCCTCACCTGCGTCTTCCCACTCCCACTCACCCACCCCGGCACATCCCCCGCCGCCACAGCCCTCGCCTTCATCACCCCCCACGGCGCCGGAAACCCCGCCGCCAGCGGCCCCCCCTTCTGCTTCGCCCCCAAAATCGCAAAACGCTTCAGGCTATGGCTCACGAACCCATGCAGCAGGTCCTGCGCTACAAGACTCGCGACGATGGCTTCCACGTCTGAGATATCAGGCATTAGCGACCCGCTAATCAGTCCCATGCTAGGCTGTAACTTGCGCCCCTGCCGCGTTGCGTCGGCTTCGAGTGTGCGCTGGCAGAGTTGCGCGGCGAGGAGGAGGGCGTGCAGGTCGAGCGTTGGCGCTTTTCGGGTCGTCGTGTCGGCGGGTGCGTCGTAAGTGAGAAGAAAGGAACGGCGGGCGAGAGAGCGCCACACGAGTGTGTCGCCACGGTAGAGGAGGGGGAGGAGGATGCCCCTGCGCAGGAACCAGGCGTGGTGGGGTGATGTGGGGCCGAGGGCCTTGCGGTAGGCGGCGAGGTTGCCGGTGCGCATTGCGGCTATTACGGGCGCGAATTTGGGGTGAAGTGTGGAAGCCTCAGGGCGGGCGAGGAGAGCTGGTGAGGGGTGGCGTCCAAGGATGAGAGAGGTGGTGATGAGGTAGATGAGGATGTTGCGGCGTTGGTTGATGCATTGGGCGTGGCATTGTGTGTAGGCGGATTGGAGGCATAGGTGGGCTTTGTAGAAGTGGGTGTTGGAGAAGAGGAAGCGGCCTAGGTAGTAGAGGTAGGTGACGCGGTGGGAGGCGGGGTATAGCGCCAGTGGTGGAGAGTTCTGCATGATGTTTGTGAAGAGCTGTTCGGCGAGTGGGGTCTTTTGGCACTGCATAGGGTTAGGAGATGAGTGGCATGGATAGGTCCGGGCCGTACTCACACGAAAGAGGAGCTTGAGGACGAGATTGGCGAAGGAGTAAATGCCGACTTTCTTTCCCTCTGGTTTCCCATCCTTAATGCCATCACGGTTCAACGTCCGCTCCGTGAGACAGATAGTGAAAGCCCGCTGTATCGACTCAGCCGTCCCCTCAACCAGCGTCTTTCGTGCCTCGCCGTCGTCCGCCGCGCGCCAGCGGCGTGTCAAATCGGGCCGCTTATCAAGAGTCATGGCTAGTGTAGCTAGCGCCGTGCATAATTGGATGGTGGTGGGAAGGACAAGGATGCCGTATGACGCATTCGACATGGCTGTGATGCAAGAACTATCCGTATATTGTCAGCATTGAAGTCTACTATTGGGGTTCGGGGGCAGGACTCACTTGACAAGGGCGCTCAGCTGGGTATGTGTCTCCATGAGGTTCCCATAGTCGACACGGCGGAAGAAATCGAGGTAGAGCGTCATGAAGGCAATGAAGCCCGGCCACGCATCGTCATTATCAATCTTCTCCACGGCCTTGTCAATGTCAATGGACTTGAGCTCCCTCGATAGCTCGGCGTAAGCATCGGCGAGGGGTGGCTCAACCACGAGCCATTGCTGGAGCTGGGCGGCATCTTTGGCGCGGAGGAAGCCAGAGATGGACGAGAGGAACTCGTCGGTTCTGCCCATCCTGGAGAGCAATGGGGGGGGGTTAGCAGGGTAAGCAGGGGAGGTTTGCTATTCCGTACTGTTGTCCGTAGGTTACTTCTTGCCCCGCCGAGATACAGAGAGGTGGGAGTGGTTGACCAGACAGAGGAATGGTACTAGCGCAAGGCTGAAAAGGCTGAGGACGGAGCGGGAGGAACAAAGATCCCGGGACTCAAAGATCCCCACCGCCGCAACGGCGGCGGAAAGAATAGATGTCGCGCTAGCCTTAATTAGGTCTAGACTCCATTGTATTATTAAGGATGGTCCGGGCGCCCTCTAAAAACAACGACAAGCGGTTCCAGTTACAGTCAATGACCGCCTTGGCGATATTTACTAGCTCGTTTGCTGCCAGTCTCCTGAAAAGCTCAAAGTTCCCTCTAAGCTTCTCATACGCTCAGGAGCCGTGGCTTCGCATGTTTCCCTGAATTCTAAAGCTAATTCCATGCCCTTAATCGCAGTCTGAATAGAAGGAGGCTGGCTTATAGGTGCTTCACCATATGCTTCCTGATCTTCTTCAGTAGCAGCTGTCTCTGAGATTTCAGTAATTAAATGCTGCAATAATCCATCGCCTGAAGAAAAACTATCCATAATTTCAGGCTCTGTCTCATCAGCAGGATTCAGGAAGCTCTGTATGTCCATTAAGTTGTGGATTCTGCCTGAATTTTCCACTATCTTATAAGTGGCATCTAAGCCAGGAGGCATAAGCTGTGTAGGAAGCTGAATTGGACTCTTAACAACGGTGCTTTTCCTAAAGCAGTTGTAGACTGTGGTTGAAGAAACATCATGGTTCCAGCTTTCCAAAGCCCACCTAATCGCAAAGAGAAGATTGATGCCATCTAAAGGGTTCCTTTCCAGCTCCCACTCCTGCAACATGAATTTTAAAAGCTTTTGCTTATAATAATTTTTAAAAGACTGAATAATCCCCTGGTCTAGTGGTTGGAATCGACTTGTTGAATTTGGAGGTAAGAAGACCACTCGGATATTAGGGGGAGGAGGCTTCACTTCAAGAGCCGTATAATGAGCTGAAAAGTTATCCATGGTAAGAAGGATTCTCCTAGAGAATCCTACATGCCTGTAGAAGGCTTCCAACCATAGTTCCATAATGTCTGTTGTCATCCAGGCCTTCTTATTCCATCTCCAATGAGCTCCCATTGCATCCACACTAACATTGCAAAGGCATCTTGGTGTCTAGCCTTTGCCAATTAACCAGAGGGAAACTTGTCAGTACCTGATGCATTGCAGCAAAAGACAACGCTAATTTAATCCTTATTCTTCTTAAAACCTGACTGTCTTGCTGATGACAGTCCCTTAGAAGGTAGCATCCTCCAAAAGAGCCCAGTCTCATCCATGTTGTAGATATCTTCCTCGTTGTAGTCCCCTGCAAGTGTCACAATCGCTGCCATCTCAATGCTCGCGTTAGAGCTGACAGAGCCAGCTTCTCCATGTTGAATTCATGTCTTGAGATTATGTCGTCTTTTAAATCGAGTTAACCATCCAGTTGTGAACTGAGGCTCGTCCTCAGATGAGTATTGTGGGATCTGTCACCATAGAATTCGTGCTTTCTCTTGTAGGAGAGGTCCGTTTGTGAAGTCTCCCTGGTTTTCGATGTGACGTTGCCAAATCACGAGGAGTCTCTCCAATTCAGGCCAAGCTACATAGGTCTCTCCTGTGTCTTTTTCTTCTTCTTCGTCGAGATGCTGCCACTGAGATTCTAGCGAGTCTGACACAGTGGAATGACCTAGCTTAATGCTGTACTGTCTTTCGAACCACTCAATACAGGCTTTCTGGGTAGGGCGTTGGGTGTGTTGGTAGAATTTGCGTAGCACAGGACTCTGGTCATGGCTGATCTTCTTTTTGGCTGCCATTTTTGAGACAAAAGTAGACCACAGATCCGATATTTGGCTAGAATGTTGTCAATATCACGATCAGCGGTCTGAGGCCACATTTTGGTGTGTTTTTTACCAGGCCAAGAGGTCAGCACCGGATATGTGGTCATATCGCCAAGGCGGTCACCGGCTTGGCGGTCATTGACTGTATAAGGCAGTTTCGTATCAATACCTGTACTACAGGCGAATTGTGTACTGTGTAAGAAGTATCATCTGTACTATTGTCATCATGTAGTTTTTTTTCTTAGTGG